TTGTTAGCATGACTCAGATAGACTTCGGGTATACGTTAATCATCTAGAAGACTGGACTGTCGCCAGTTGCATGAATTGCAACCTAAAAATGTGCAAAGTAGTGTAATTACGTACTTGTAGGCTGGTGAATGCAAATTTCACCCTATGCAACAAATGCTTTACCCCTACAATGTTGAAGCGTGACCTAGGTCTAATTCGAAATGAAGAAATGGACACAAGCATAAGTCACGCGGGGGATGTATTGACCGCATATGCGGTCATACACTTTACACATAGACGGTTGACTGTACTCTTGCCTGAGTTCTTTTCTAAGGTTATACGACACTTACTTCAGGGCACACTTTGAAGTTAACAATATCGCTGCACCCCTACTGCTTAGAAAGGACGCGAACTTTTTAGAGAGAGTCCAAGGCTGGGCGACAAAACGGAAGATGGGTCTTCGAAATAAACCGTATGATGAATGGCTAAGGAAATTTGACCTATTCACACTTAGCTACAGTTGGCTTAGGGAAGACTTGATTAGTGCCTTTTTTGATTCCCTCACGTTCTCAGTGAAACAGGGCTTCAAACTAGAGACTCGAAGTATTTGTAGCAGAGTTTATTTTAACAGGATGGGGTCGCTAGCCTCATGCCCAATCTTTCCTCTTAACCAGCTTTATTTCTGATTTGGCGAAGTAAAGGAGTGTGCTGGCTTGAATCGAACCTCGGACCATGTTATATCTGTAGGATATTGAATGAAGACGTTTTCACCTTATTCTGTCTGCGCCTGAACTAATCTGCCTATCTGCTCGTCGTACCTTCCGACTTGGTAAAGCACGCAAATATCAAAAGACAAAGGCTGGACTGTGACTGTGTATTGAGGTGCAACAACGATAAAGAAAGCCATGGTATTTATACATTTTACAACAATATGGACAGCTAACAGCATTTGAAATAATTGACCTTAATAGCCAATAACAAAGTGTGTGAGAAATGATAATATGCCATATGTGCGACATTGACAGTCAGTAACAAAATGTGTGGGAATGATATTATACCATATATACAAAATTAGCAGTCACTACCAAAATGCGTGAGAATGATAATATACAAAATTAGCAGTCAATACCAAAATGTGTGAGAATGATAACATACCATATATGCAAGTTTAAACAGTCAATACCAAAATATGTGGGATCCTATCAGACCATTTCATGGTTCTTCGAGCATCTCAACCGCTGTGCCGTCGACTCCTGCAAAGTGCTAAGTGACCAGGATCACCCAAAAAAGCTGTTCTGTCATTGAGTAGGTATGATCTTCCTCATGGAAATCCCAGAAGGACAGCTCACCAGAGGCCAACGATTCAGGTGCGCCCCAACTTCTTCCACTGCAGCTTTGTCGTCCCTTGAACTCTACACCGGTAGATGTAGCTACTGTACCGTCTCTAGGCAGCTTTGAACGAGGGCTGGACAATCATGCAAAGGCACAGGCGTTGCGTCAAAATGGTCCGTCCCCTTAAAATCTCATACATCATTCATCAGTAGAGCTCTAAATTCATCGGTTAACTTCTATACATTCTCTCCTGTCATACTTTCTTGACTACTCCAACCACAGCATTTACACTTATAATAATAATTATGATTACTGATATTAAATACATATTTATACATATGTAAATATCATTATATATGAATTAACTTCAAATTTAATTGGCTGTCTGTTTTTACGTCTTCTTAATTTTTTTTGTCTTGTAGCGGTAAATAATTCCCCAAAATTATTGACCATAAGAATCATTAGTGAACATTGGATGCTGACCCTTAAAGTTTAATTCGACTTGTTTAGCTGAAGGCTTCCCGTCAAGCATCCCCGCCATTTGGTACTCCGTCGTGTCACTTTGGTGCATGATAACTAGCTAGCTTAGCTTCGGCTTCAATCCGCGATTTGGTTCCGAAATATATCTCGTAATTCGGACAATCATTTGTGATGTTTTGCTTTGCCTTTGGTACACGAGAATCAAATAAGATAGAAGTTGTTGGTATCAGATCTTGCGTTAATATATTCAGTACTGTTCGCGAATGTCCCTACCATCAACCTCTAAAAAGTTCATATATTTGTTGAGGTACTGCACTGGTGTTACTGCAAGAGCTATACAGTGCTGTAGGTTTATGCCCCCAAACGAAGAATATACAGAGAGCATGAGGATATTACGTCACAGGTTTGGAAGGCCATGTATGATATCCCGTGGAATTTTTTGAGACTGTTAAAGATAATGGGGCGCAGTTAAGGGACAAACCCGAGGAACTTGCAGATTTCTTGAATAATTTGATGGTATACAGAAGTAATCTCGTTTATCTTAACAATATGGATGAGTTAAACTCAAGTTCGGTGCTTGAGACAGTTGTCAAGAAATTACCGGTCCGTCTACAAAGGAAGTTCATAAAAGTTTGTTCACGGTTAGAGAAAGATGGTTTGGAGCCTGGATTCGATGATACTGTGAGGCTGGTGAATGACAGCGTCACCCAAGTGACAGGCGAATTCGCCAGCATTTTGCATTCTAAGGTAGAATCTAAGGATCCTCTGAATATACAGAAAGCTTTTGTAGTGAATGCTCAAGGCACAATGAGGAAGAATGAGTGCATTGTTTGCCATAACATGCATCAGTTGATTGATTGCAATAACTTCGTTGCTTTGTCTCCTATCGAAAGGTTAAAAATGGCAAAACAGAAGCAGTTGTGTTGCCGGTGTTTTTAGATGGGGCATACAAAGTTGAATCGTTAGGCGACAGACAAAGGAAGTTGTGATTCGGCCGATGTGCACTTACTTCAATGGCAAACAACACACTACAATGACAACTGGCTAGCTTAGCTTCCGCTTCAATCCGCGATTTGGTTCCAAAATATATCTCTTACTTTGGACAACTGATTTTAGTCTTTGGTTTGCCTTTGTTACGCGAGAATAAAATAAGTTAGAAGTTGTTGGTATAAGATCTTACGTTAATATACCCAGTACTGTTCACGAACGTCAATATCGTCAACCTCTAAAGTCTTTTAGTCTGCATAACCGACACTAATTATATCCGTTATTATTATCTCTCTTATTTTGACGACGATGCCGGAGGACTAGTTGATGTAAGGATCAACTCCATTCACACTAGTAACAAAGTTTTACTACTCCACATACTTCAAAAAACAAATAATTAATTCCTGTATGACTCCATTTGGAGTCAAGCAAAGCTACGACAGTCGAGTGTGAGGCCGAACTAGGCATAAGTTTACCGGAGACCAGGAACCTTTACCTCACAATCAAGAAGCGAACACAAAGAAATCAAACTGTTTTACAATAGCGAGTGAAATTGTCTGTCACATCCAAGGTCATTGGTGAAGTGAGACGCTCAAAGGTCAACTCGGATGATTTATAACAGTTTAATTAAAATTTATTGATAAAAAATTCAAAGCGAAATTTTTAACAGAACATGATACATAAGCACAGTCGCAAAACTCGTATAAACGATATTGAATATCGGAAACCACACTGTCAATGAATAAGCGTACAAACTAAATCCCCACGACCTATTCTGCCTTCTCTCACTCTATCTTTTACTTAGGTCACCTTTATTATTCCACTTATCTCAACCTATATTATCTACACTACAACCCATTATTTTTATTATTATTATTACTACTATTCTGCTTTTATGACTACACCGAATGACCAACGGGAGTTAGGTCAAACTCCATTCACGGCAGCAATACAGTCCTAACATACTGCATACTACAAACCACATCTCGACCAATCCCCGCACCACTCCTCCTGGAGTCTACCAGAGCTAAAGCAGTCGAGTGGCGGGACTTACTACGCAGAAGCTCACTGAAGATCTGGAACCTCTACCTCACAATCAAGAAGCGAGCTCAAAGAAATCACTGGTTTATACTAGCTCGTAATCGGGATATTGGATATTGGATACGTATGGCGGCTTTTCAAAGGGTTTGTTACAACCTGTCGAAATTTATGGCATTGCATAAGTAGAAAATACCAGCGAAGTTCAACAATAGCGTCCCAAGGAACACTTGCTAATAGGTCAGTTGCTTGAATTCTTTCCAATCATTCAAGTCATGTCAGAGAAAGATGACCTGAGTAATGTGTTTTCATACTTTTTCTTGTAAATATACGTCTTTTCTGTGCAGAAGTTTCTCATTTTTTATGATTGGTTGACTGAAGGTCACCTGTGCGTTAACATCCTTTGGGATGCTGTTGTTAAACTATCCCAGCCACTTTACCCGCAGTGTATCTTAGGTTATACGCATTGTCACCCGAAAATCGAGTACCACTAATAGAAATAAAAACGGTGTGTTCTAGAAGTGTTTAGAAAAGTACCAAGTTTAATCGCAAGCTTTTTAGTTATGCTGTTTCTAGCCCTAGAGTCTCACATCTAATGGGATATTTTGTGTCATTTTTACATCGAGTATTGTCAATGTTAAGCATCTTTGCACTCCTACTTTTAGTTTGTCCTCTGTGTGTACTGCTAAATATAAATGAGTGGTAACCAAGAATTAGTCCCACACAAACCTTGTGCGGAAAGATTCTAGATGCATTTCTGTAGAAGTCGTTGGGTAGAAAGCTCATGAGCGTCCATGATTTTTATACTTGTTTGAATATACGTTTTTTAAAAATGGCGAGTCATGGGAATGTTTCAGTCCTAGTTCTAGTGCAGATTTCAGTTTCGTAAGTTCATAACCTTTAATCATTAAATCAATTTCTGGGTGGAAGGGTCTTATGTGGAGCCACACACATTTTCCACACTAAACTTGAGTCTCCATGTGTCACATCATCTTTCCATTTTTATCGATTCTTTCTGCACAAAATTTACAGTTGTACTGAGATCTGTGTTTTCGCACACATAAGTCACTTCGAAGTCATCCGTGAGCGGCTTATACTTGTCAAACTCATTCATCTTCTTGTCTACTTTTGTATGCTATTAGGAACGTGGCAACTCGAACTGCTGCACTTTGGTGCCAAGTTCTATGTTGAATCCAGACAGACAGACATCCGTGAGCGGCTAGTCCATGCTTTAAGGAAGAGACACATATATTAAGAAGTGCACATACAGTAGGAACTGAATTAGTCTGTGGTATGTCACACCTTCATTATGAGAAGAGGATGGAACACTTCCTATTATTGTGTTGTAGCATATCACATATTAAAGGGTGATTTGGTTGCTGACCTTACCAACCTTCTGATCCTAGGTTATTTTTTTTTTGATCATTACAGAAAGTTACCCGAATAGCAGCCGAACAAAATACCACAGGAAGGTCCTCAAACCGAGGTCGAATAAAGTACGTGTGGGGTTAGAATCCTTTCACAGAGTGGTTAATAACTGAAACTGCACCCCACCAAGTAGTATGAAATTCATCGGTGAAGGCTTTCAAAGGGAAATTGCAAGGAGTAACACAGATCACAAGAGCCTACTGTCATTTATTATGTGAGTCTGGATTGTTTAAACTACTTGACTGTCAACATCATTTTGCCCTCCATTTTCCTCAGGGTCTTTCTTAAGTTCGGAAAAAGATTAATATGGTTGTGAGGGTTAAAGAAGTTATCCTTATAATTTTAATTGGTAATCAAATATGAACCAATCCAGAAAGTCATGTTGCGAGCAGTTACGACATATTTCTGAAGGCTCTGAAGATGGAATCTGTATTCGGTGACAAATATAACTTTTTAGATGTTGTGTATTGTTTTCGCCGAGTTTTTGATGTCTTATTAGTTGTTCTTTGGGGTTTAGCTCCATTTACCGGTTTTGTAGCAATCCTCATCTTCCTTATAACTAATGTTTGTTTTGTTTATGCCTATGATGCTGTTTACCAGCGTGTCGCTGACAACGAATATGGTCGGCCTGGTGAAATCGTAGAGGACCGTCCAGTGGTGGCTTTCGCATCCTTCATGGTATCTGGAGAGTTAACAACGCAACTTGGTAATCAAACAGTACGAAAATCTGTAATACATGTCGTGATATGTTTTGTACTATATCCAGATTGATTTACTTTAGAATATATTGTATAAATACCGAATTTGTGTTTTGATTTAAATAGTCGGATAAAGTATTTACTAGATTTGTTTGTTTTAGGTATGGTTTCTCAGCACAGTGTGTTGTATTTTGTCAAGGATATCAAACGTGAAGTGACAGGAAGTGATCTATCATATGTCCAAGCTGGAGATGGATCTTTATGTTTTTGTACAATTCTGGAATTAAATCCAAAGTCTACTTCCTTGTTATTAGAATACTGTTCATTATGTTCACTTAATAATATGGCACAGTGTCATATGATTATGTTGAACAACAACTCACACTTTCGTATGCTTCTTGGTAATGTCCCTGATATCACAGAGCATGGACGTACTCAAACTTCTGGTCAGCCTTCTTTAAGACATATAATAGAAAACATACTTCAAGGTTCCATACGTGGGGATGTGTACAAGATTGAGATTAGATGTGATACAGAACGTGATGGACAAAAACATCATTCAGTAAGCTACTTTTGTGTGATTTGTTTTGCTAATTATTTTTGTAATTGGGTATGTGGAAATTTGTCGGATTAAAACGTTTATTGTTTAGAGATATAGGCAGGTGGTGATAATTACAATGTAATTATACAAATATATGTAATTTTTCTTAAATAATGTGAATTGTGACAAAAAATTGGTTACATACTTAATAAAATAGCATGTGAAATGTGTAAGTCTTGGAAGGCGTGTGGGATTAGTTAGATTATCAGGCAATGAAAACATTACGCGACAAAGTAAGGCTTATAATCAGACAACATTGCGAAAAAATCATATCGAATGAAGGTGACAAGTGAAATAATACTGGAAATAGTTCAAAGGGAATTAATGAGGGATGCATATATGAACCAAATATACGAAAGGAAAAATTAATAGGACCACAGTGGACATATGGGCTGAAGAAAGAAATGGTTGGAAAAAACTCTTTCCGTTTACAAGGGTGTTATGGCGATACTATTTTGATGGCCAAAGCTTCAGTGACACAAATGAGTCGGATAAGTAATGACTTTGGTGGGTTATTTATCGCCATGTAGATAACTGAAGGAAAAGAATGTTGAAATAAGCAACCATTGTCGAGCAGATGTTCAATTGTGGCTCTTCTTATAGCCTCACTTCCATTTCTTCGTAATCACGCAGGACAGTGTTCTTCAACCCTCTTGGATACGTAACCAATTTGTTACCAAAATTCACATTAATAAATCCGTTGAAGAATCTCTTGGCTGAATCAACTTGTTTTAGTTTCCTGCATCTCCTAACGAGAATTTTCCACGAATTATTTTAGTTGCTTCGAAGTTTCTTTTTTATTTCTGTTTATTTTTGATCTTATAACTTTGTTTCTTGTCCACTCATACCACTCAAAATATGATCTGACCCATTTAGTGCTTTATTTGTTTTTTAAAACGGAACTGATTCAATTCTTGTCTTTAAGGCCTATGAATAAAACCTGTTTAATAATTACACCATGAATTTACGGGCAAAATATGTGTATATTTCAATTGGTTTAGTATCAGTGTAACCCATCATCAAGTTGGTTTTCATGATGAGACTTAGTTGGCGATTTTCATTTTATATTATTGATACCAACGTTTCAAAGTAGGCACCACACGTTTTCACCGTTTACACTCTAATTACTTAGACTAATGTTAGTTATTTTAACTGTTACGAATAGATCCCTTTATTATTGTTATATGTATAAATTTTCATTAATCCGAGCTAAAACATTTTAGTGCAGTAATTTTAAACATGAGTAGGCAAGTAGGCGTCTCAATTAGATAACTATGTTCAAGAAGGTAGACTTTTGAAATTATATATCACTTAACGTTACTCCCTCAGTATCCTGGTGTGGTGGGGAATAGATGGTCATTCTGGTCTTCCTCTGGATACGCTGTTATGTAGCCATACATCCACAGCCCCAATCAACAGTATCACTTGAATTACCTTCACGTGGTAGGAACTGTGTTTTAAAACTGACCTAAAAGAGCCATATCCCGAAATGACACTACACTTGAACCATAGGATGATGGGTCGGTGTGTGGGTTGATTTACGTCACACTCTAGCGTAGTGATGGCTTCGCCTCATTATTCTGCGGATTAGGGTTTATGTTAAATACTGGTGGAGGGGTCTCGAAAGATAATCGCCTGTTTTAGTGCGTGTCGCAACTGCAACTGTGTCTTCAAATAAACAGTGAGAACCGCATGTGGAGGTAGGATGCGGAAAGGCAGAAAGGTTGGTTTTGGGTGCGTACTGATGAAGAGTCCTAAACTAGGACGAAACAGATGTCCAGTACTCCCAGGTTTTCCAGTGGTTCTCTAACTGATGTCAGCTCATGATGAAATCCTCCATGAAATACATTAGTGTTAAATATTTACAAATTCTCCGACTTCAAGTTTCTCCCTTTAGAAGCTTCATGCGAAGTTACTACAGTAAAAAATATTACTTTAAACAAGAAACATTGTAGAAGACTAAGATACAGTGAAAATGACCAAGATTTTGCTGATAATAATAGTCAAAATTTATGTGACTATAGATGGTTTTGTGTCATGTCACTGACATCCAATAAGTAATACTTTCTCGCTGCATTTTACTGTATCGTAAAGTAAGCAGGCTAATGTGGAAATCAATTCAATCTATAATGGAACTTGATGGTACATAGCTAAGGCATATATCTGGAAAACTATTAGGAAAGAACTGTTAAGAAGTGTAATGTTATATGTGCACCTGCCTCTCAAAGATTACCTGTGGGCTGTCTCATATAGGGTTTGTTGTTTGTGACTTCTATTTTCTCTAGGTATAGTGTAGTTAACTTCGCATACTGAATGGTTATATTTTAGTTGCAGACTGAGATTGTGGAACTCTTTTATCACATAGCTCGTTTTCACCGAGTTCTATTTTAAGGTCAGATAGTCAAGTAGTCAAACGCTCTAATGAACCGGCTACTTACGAAATCTCAGTAGGGATATGAAAGTGTCATTTCACAATCCCTACCGCGCTTCGTATCTGAGGCCTATAGGATATCTATGTAAGCATTTAAGTGTATGTATTACACAGCAGTTCTTTACTTCCTACTACTATACGGCCGTAATATTGGGCTATGGAGTATGGAAGACATAGATGGGTTACACATTTATGTGACCATTTACTTTTGTTTAAATATTCATTGAGTTACATAACAGGTAGTGTTGAGTCAACAACTACCATCGATCCAAGACACATACAGTTAGGTATTGTTTGCTTAGATAGGGTACTTGAGATACTAAGGACTGTTGGTCAGAAATTCTTCATGAGATGGCATAAAACATTTCATCATAGGCGAATGTATTCACCCCCTGTCATAAACGTTCAAGATATCACTACTCTTCATTAAATGATTTTCTCTATAAATGTTGATCGATTGTTCTACCACTAGACGTTTGTTATTTTATCTCACTTTTCAGAGACGTTACAACTTGAACTGGGGCTTATCTATGCAAATTATATATGTAACGATTATCCCTTGTTGGAAGTTTCCTAGGGCTAATAGAATTATGTATATTTCTTTTTAATTTTTTCGCTTATTCAATTAGGATTTCACTATGTCATTACGTGTTGACTATGTCCTTGCTCCACCAGCTTGTATGAAAAATACACACGTCAAAACAAAAGAATTGAAATCCGATCCTAGAGAAAATACTACTATGGATTGGAATCCTGACTTACCTGTTCATTGGTTATATCGAGCATGGGATATGAAAGAACGAGGTTCATGGTTAATAAATCATCACTTAAAAACAGTAACATCGAATTGTGAAAAGTTAAATGATAAGAGTGAATTATGTAAATACATTTGGCAATCAGCGTTCACATGTTATTCAAGAGCTTTACAGCTTGTTTCACTATGTCACTGGGCTGAACAAACTTGTCGTACAGACGAATCTTCATCATCGATATCTGATAATGACAAGTCTAGTTGTACAAAGTCTGAAAACAGACGAGATAGTAAGGATAGTATTCAAGTTTTATCCGGTGAAAAGTCAATTACTATCATTCCTACTAATGCTTCTGGTGACAATTTGAACAGTTCAGAATATATTGATTGTGATCATTTTGGTAGTGCTGGTTACAAAACTTCGTATTCTTTGGATTGTCAACCTGTACGCTTGGAGTTTATGTAAGCGTTTTCTTAATAATTTTTATTCATTACTGTTTGAAAATCAAAACACTGGACTGGAGGACAAATAATATTTTATTAGATATTTTTTTTGTTCATCTTCTACATTTATGTGTTCATGCTAATTAGAGAATATTTCCAAGTAAGATCACGAACTGACACAGTCAAATAATCATTGCGAAGCAGGAGCTATAGGACAGTTCTTTCACCTCATTTTGGGAAATGTGGCTTATTGGCTTAAGTACTTGGTTTCCAGCCAATGAGTCACTCACGTGAATCCCGCTTCAGTTGCTCCAGCCTAGGGGAAACTGAGTAGTGTCGTTAGCCCTCACATGATAAGTGTGGCTCTAAGCTCTTGGTACATAAAAAAATCTGTTCTGGGTAATTGAGCTTAGACAAAATAGCAACATAGCTAGTTTGAAACTCTCCAGGAGTACACACCCATAAACCCATTGGAGATTGTACCCGGGACCTTCAGGTGTTGAGGTGAAATCATTGATCAGTCAGTCACTAAGATGGAGTCAGTGACATATGAATTTTAACTCTAACCAATTTGTGGTATATGGTGCCAACGCCAGTCAGTGTCATCAGCGAGGATTCACGAGCCATTGGATTTCGTTCCTGTGGCTGGGCTTCCCTCGTAACCTGAAAGTTTTAGGTCGCATCCTTGAATGTGTCATGGGTGCCTGCTGATGAAGAGTCACAAACTGGGGCAAAATAGTTACTTAATATCCCCTGGTTTTCAGTGTTTCTCTTGTGGATGTCAGTTCGTGATTTACCTAGAATATATACACTTGCAAGTGGAGCATTATTTCAATTGTCCCATTGTGATGTTTAAACGTCAGTATTTCTTTGTGGTAGTTTCCGGTAGTTACTGATCGATACTGTGTCGCTAAACTGAAAATTTGGAAACACCAGCTGTTCCATTTCGTTCCAGTTCTTGCTCAGTTTTGTCCTCGTAAACAGCGAGACCTAAAGTACAGTCTTGGACTGTATCTATCTTAGTGTCATAGGTTATTTCCATCGCTAAAGAATGCCAAGTAGGGATGTAACACCTATTCTGTACTGATATATTATTTAAAATAATCTCAACGTGTTTAAGGAAAATCGAAACAAGATTTTTCTGAACATCTCGCTGTGCAAGTCGCAGCTGCTTCAGTAGAATTATTCTGATTTTATCAACCATCAAAACATAAAGTCAGATGTTGCATAAATTGAAGTGAGTTTCTTTGGAGGTCACATGTCGGTAGATATTTGCACCAATAGAAAAATGTAAGCAATCATCACATATTTGTAATGGCTAATGTCAAGTTGGCATATGTGCATGCTTATCTGTGTGACTGTGTGTGTATGTTTATTGTATAGGAGAAACATTAAAACGTGATAGTATTTCACAGTGGTTATAATATAGAATTGAATTTTTTCTTCTCGTCTGTTTTGCTTCATTAGAGTCTGCCATATAGGTGATAAGTGTCTATCCCCTCTCAGCTATTTATCTCATTCGATGCTGTTAAAATCTGCAAGACTTCAGAGGTCAGTCTTTCTCTATGTGTATGAAAGCTTCTTTCTAAAATTTCTAGATTGTCGAAATCGATCTTATGTCCGCTGTCTATAGCATTCATTGCTATCTATATTAGAAAATTTTCTTTTTCATCTTTCTTAATAATGATAAATGTGTCATCCACATATCTGTACCATATTCTAGGCTAAAAGGATAATACAAAAAAGGTGAACCGATTGTCATGTCCTCCATTTGGTGATAAATTTCACTGTTAAACTAAAACTGTGCACAGTCATCCTACGACGAACTAGCTCTTCTCGCATTATATGAGAAAGTTTATCTTACTTCTGTATCGTTTTGTAGCAAAAGAATGAAAGGTGGCATCTTGTTGTTATGAGAATGTCTATCAGTCAATCGTGTGCGCTCTGCGTGTTATCAACAAATGTATGTACCAATAGCGAAATAACAAAGAAAATCAAAACAAGTGGTGATTCAGCGAAGAGACTCTTTTCAACGAATTTATCATCAAGCTGTACAGTCGTATATATATATATATATATATATATATATATGGTTTTTAAGAAGTTATATCCGGTGGGGGAATTGAATCATAGGTGTGAATGCATAAAATAATAATAATAATAATAATAATATGAAGTGCAATTAAAACTAAAATGTTTGTGATTATAATCGTAGTTAAGTGTCAAGTGGCAAAGCAAATTAATGTCATCATACATAGAATAATTCATAGGATGGACAGAACTTGAAAAAGGGTGTACAATTACAAGATTAGTAGACAAATCTAATAAAACAAAAGCGTTACGTAATATTGTGTGAAGTTTAATAGCATAGAATTTATCGTTGTGAAGAAGAATTGATTTAGAATGACAAGTGAAACGAAGGATATCACAGTCCTTGAAAAGAACACTCCCTACTGCATCTCTGAGGATAGCCTTTACTAGCCGACCATTATTGTTCAATAACCTGAAGGACAAGACCCCGCTGTTGACCAACTCTGTGTGTGTTTATCAATTCACCTGCTCTTGTGGAGCTAGGTATATCGGTCGTTCGACTCGAGTTTTGTCCAAGAGGATGCAAGAACACTATCCTGCATGGCTACGAAAAGGTGGAAGTGGAGCAATAAGAAGCGCGATCATTGATTATCTGGTCGATAATGATCACCCTATCTCTATAGTTTCCGCCTTTAAAGTCATCTACAAGGCAAAGAGTAATTTACCCAAATACCTACGTACCCGATTCATCTGTATTGCTGAAACTTTGGCTATCGAAACAGAAAAGCCAGATCTCTGTGTATAGAAAAAGTTCATTCAACCCCTCCAACTTTCATGGTCTTAATCCCTCTATGGTAAAATATGGTAATCCCCAATCATATTTTAGCTCTACCATTCTTTCATTTTGTCTATTCAATTTGTATACTCTTCCTTATTACGTCAATTGTTATTATTACTATTCTCACTTTGAATTGTCCCCGGTATTATTTCACTTGTTCCACTTGTCATTCTAAATCAATTCTTCTTCACAACGATAAATTCTATGCTATTAAACTTCACACAATATTACGTAACGCTTTTGTTTTATTAGATTTGTCTACTAATCTTGTAATTGTACACCCTTTTTCAAGTTCTGTCCATCCTATGAATTATTCTATGTATGATGACATTAATTTGCTTTGCCACTTGACACTTAACTACGATTATAATCACAAACATTTTAGTTTTAATTGCACTTCATATTATTATTATTATTATTATTATTTTATGCATTCACACCTATGATTCAATTCCCCCACCGGATATAACTTCTTAAAAACCATATATATATATATATATATATATATATATATATATATATATATATATATATATATATATATATATATATATATACGACTGTACAGCTTGATGATAAATTCGTTGAAAAGAGTCTCTTCGCTGAATCACCACTTGTTTTAATTTTCTATATGTTTCAATGGAAATTTTCCGTAAGTTAAAAAATAACATAAAATAATGCTTTATTAAAATTTTCTTCTTCCTCTGCTTTTCAGCTTATTATCAAATATTGCTCTATGCCAATTAAAGGTTGGATCAAATGAATATTGTGTACAAAATTGTTCACAAGCTTTATATTTACTTGCACGGGAGAATAAGTCTATTCCATATTCTAATGACTATAATGATATGTGTAAAGCAGAATTATTTTCTTTTGAGAAAATTAAATTTTACTTGGAGAATTTTCAAATTACATGTCGTGATGTCTATAAGGTGTTATTTCGTCGAGCTCAAGCGAATTATAATCTGGGCAAAATGGATGAAGCCAAATTAGACCTACAAATATGTATACAACTAGACAAGGATCAGTTGATGATATTAGAGGGGAAAACTGAGAAAAATGAAGAAATCAAAGCGGTGAAGTCGTTGACAGCATCAGACGAACAAGGGAATAACGCTAATTGTAAACAGATTAAGGCAGCTTTACAGGCTAGTGAAAGTTTATTAGCAAAAGTATGCGAACATATAATACGTGATCAAGAACAATTAGTTTCTCGTTTGAGAAAGCGAACATCTATGAAGTGATAATAAAATGTTATACTTCTGGTTTAATAATGATAGTAACATTATTGATATATTCTTATGTATACATTAAAATCATTTTTTAATTTTCACTGTGAACAATCAAAGTATCTTATGATATGTTTTTCTTTTAATTTTTAAACACGGAACTTTGCATAAAGATGTTGTATTGCAAGCCAACACACTTCAGTAGCATGCTTACACATGCATAAAAATTTTCAGAATCTCGAATACATCTGCGCCATAGAGTATGATTTTCTGTTACGCCACCAAAAGCCCCCAGCCTGTTTACGCCATTATACATGGCTCTTACCAGTGGGTGAAGACTTCATCAATTGCTGTCAATGCTTTGGTCCGACTTCTTATAATTCTTTTTCCAATCTAATGGTATACAAGCTAACATCGCTCGTCAGGAAAGCCAGTGGTTAAGGATGCATAGTCCTAATGATATATCCCAACTTGAGCTAATCATAGTTTCCATAATAGTGAAGTTCAATAACTTAGTCATACAGAAATTCTGAATACTTGTTGCGCTAGGCTACGACGTATCACATTGTATATATATATATATATATATATATATATATATATAGCTTCACCTTACTGTTTTTTGCAACTTTCCATATCGCCAGTATAGGGTTTTGAGTCATTTCGATTGCACGCGAGCTGCATCGAATCGATAAACAAAGATTTAGCGTTTAATCTCTCTCCACCTAAATATATTATTTCTTAATAATTTCTCCCTACTGTGTGAATACACGCAGGCGAAAACGATGACCGAGCTTTCCCCAGCTTACGATATTCAATATAGAGAAGACAATTCTTCTTTCAAAATGATCTTAACTACTGTCTTTGTTGTTTCCTCCTTCAACGTATTGGTTTTCGCTTATTAATCATCTGGTTGATCGACGTGTTAAATGTATTGCCTATGAGACCCATACCTTCTGAGTATTCTTCACCAGTCCAACTTAAACCTGTCTCGCCACTCTCCACAGCCTGCTGCGTGAACCAGTCCACCACAAGATTGAGAATATCATCAGTGATAATAGGCAGTTTTGTGTCTTGCTCCTGTCTCCAATTCCTCATTGAGTTTTTCGTTGTACATCACCCAGTACATACCATCGTCATATATGTAAATCTGGTTGAATGAAGTTGATAAGAATTTGGGGCTGCTTCCAAATTACGAATCGATCAACTCTGTTGAAAAGATTTTCAAAGTCGATAAAGTTGAGATAAAGACATGTGTGCTATTCTATGCTCCGTTAGATGGTGTCTCGTAGTGTTGCAATTTGATTGGCACATGATTCGATTTTCTTGAATCCAGGTTGTCCTGGGCGGATGTTTGTACCCAGAGCATCTTCTAATCTCACAAGGATGACGAGACTTAATATTTCGCCTGTCGAGGACAAAAGAATGATTCTGTGCTAGTTCTTGTAGAGGCCTGGGTCACCATTTTTGGTAGTTTAACAAGATGTCCTTTCTTTCAATTGGTGGGCACCTTTCTTTCCTTCCAGACTTTTTGAAATAGTGGACTGAACATATCCTCTGAGGCCCCTGGGAGCCACTCTCAGCACTTCAGGAGAAATGCCATCTGGTCCCGCTGCCTTGCTGCACTTCAGTAACTTGATTGCACTCAAGACTTCTGTCTTCGTCGGAGGATTCATATCCCTTAGCAGCTGGTGGTATTTCTGGGCGAGCTGCAGGTGACGGTCATTCGAGGAGTCCTCTTGAAATAATCAGCCAATTTTTTTTTACCTCTCTATCCTATTTGATAATTAGGTTCCCTTGACCACCATTTATTGGTTTCACCTCCGTGGATTGCTTCCAGAATAGAGACTTGGTTATCAGATGTACTGTTTTGAGGTCAATTTTACCTGAGGCCGATCTGCTCTGCTCTAGTTGCCGGATAGTTAGTTGTAGAATTACTATTTATTAGCACTCTTCACTTTTCTATTTGGTGAAGTGTACACTGAACTAAGCTTCTCCTTCTATTGTCCATCTTCTCAATGAGTCATCTTATCTTTCACCATCCTCCTCCCCTCTCTTCTGTTCTTTTTCAGATGTCCGTTGAGATCCGTCCCTTGTCTTGTCTCTTCTTTCTTCCTAAAACAATTGAACACGCTTCCTTGAACACCACCTTCAGGGAGTTCCAAGGTTTCCTTATTGATACCACGTAGTGTCTCCGACTTCGCCCCAATCTGATCCGTAGCGAAGGTATCTCTTGTCATTTTGTCTTTCAGTTTCTGAGGGTATGAGTGGAAACGTGGTCTCTCTCCAGTTGTTCTGAAGTATGTCAACTCCAACTCGAGGATCTTTTGAACTAGATGGTAGTCTGAGTCTACGTCTGCTCCCCTTCTCGACACTGTATCCAGCAAGGGCCCTCACTTCCTTTAGCAGTATTGAGATTTAGTCTATCTGGTTTTTGGTGTGTCCGTCAGGCGAAATCCACGTTCCTTTCTATATTTTCTTGTGCCTGTACATTCTGCCTCCGATCCCCAAATAATTGGAAGCGTAGAGGTCTGTGAAGAAATCTCTGCTGTTAATTATTCCTCCCAGAGCCTCTCGACCCATGATGAGTTCTCCTCTTGCATTCCCCACTCTCAGTTTAGTATTTATACCTCCCATAGGGATTCTGATGTCATTATTCGGGGTGATGGCCATTACCGCTTGTAGTTGTCCATAGAAATCTTGCTTCTTCTCTTTCTCTGAGTTGTTTGTGAGTGTATAGCACTGGATGATTGTCACCTTCCTTCCCTTTGAGTTGGATCTCACTGTTATAATCATGGATGAGATTGCTCCCCACATAATAAGAGCTGTATCTGTGTTAGTGATGTCGTGATGGTCACCCCCTAGGTGTGTTCATGGTTGTCGTCTGGGTGACTGGAGTAGATTCCTGACTCAACACATTCACTCCATCTTCTCTGTCAGATTCCGAGCACTTCTATACCATATCCTCTCATTTCTGTGGCTACCTGAGCAGCTTTCTCAGCCAGCCTCGCACACTGTACGGACATTCCACGTTCACATCATTATTCTTGCTTTCATCAGGGGAAGATACATCGGCCGACTGCCTTCCCGAAGGCTTTCACCAACCCTCCTCATTTCGCCTCCCCGATTCCAGGAAAGAATAAGACTGTTATTTGAATATTTCGTGTTTTTATTATATTTGCTGTGAGTTGAAGTTTCTATAGCAGTCCGATACGTTTTGTGGGGCAGAGTCGCCAGCTCAATGCCCGACCTTCCTACTTTACCCGGGATTGGAGCCGGCTGGTAAACTAAACGAATTAATATCTAATAAATCATCTACTTCTCCTTAATTATTTAAAAATCTTTTGTGTGAATGCCATTACTGCATTTATATCTGGGGCTAGATGGCTAAAAACAGAAACCTATTCTGAATACTTGCCTGTGATATATTTTTTTATTCTGGCGTTGCATAGAGATTGTGCAGAGGGAAATCGCTTATTTCAGTGGCCTAAATGATTTTAGTGCCTGGGTTTCCAGATTTAATTCAATTTAATGTTGGTCTGATATTTCCCTAATTTAGTCAGGTTCCTGTCTCAAATGATACTTGGCATCTTGCTAGTCAGATGATTGTGAAGTTAGTCAGACATCTTAGCGCTGAACGGTGCTGGCACTTTAGAACAGCTGAATGTCCCCGCAGTGCTAGGTGCATGCTTTCACCGAAACACAAGGATAACTCAGTCTCTGGTTTTATGTTAACACTCACAACTCCAGCCACAGGTTGACATTGCTTTGCCGAAACATTTAGAGCTCAGTAGTCCTTTCCAATGGGTCGATTATTATAAATGACAATGTTGAAGATACTTGAGTCAGAATGCAGGAAAAATTAGAAAGTATCACATTTTCTTTTGTAAATTTCTCTAGCCATCAAAAGCTGTCGCGTCAGCCTCCACGGATAAATGACGAAGTTAGATGACTGAGGAAGCACAAATTCCTATGGGTCCAGTTTGACGAAAAACGGAGGGAGAAACCTAGGATTATCGTAAAAAACCTATCTATATAAAGTCGTGTTAAATGAAATCCTTAAAACATTTGGGACAGTACTATACTATCCGCATTGCGCCAAAGGGCTTCATTCATAAACAGTATACAGTGCTACGCATATAAATATTTTGACATCATTAGGAATAATGAGATCGTGGTTACGGAGAGACATGAGGCGAAGGCGGTTACTTCCTCGTTATTTTTCTCCAGACATTTACACTCAAGAATTCATCGTAGTCACTGCCACCCCACAGAAATGCTCCCACTTATGGCATCAAAGTAATGGTTCTTAGACTGTTGTCTATGCCTTGAGCAAGTAAGTCACCAGTCGCCGGCGTCTTTTATTTCAGGCTGTTACAACGCATCTACCGTATCTGTCTCAGACGAGGCTACATACATGTGAAGAAACATGACCAACTTATGAAGGAACAGCATGCATTCAAACCCGAATTATCTTGTTTATCAGCTTATTATCAGCCAGGGAAAATGAGTAGAGACCACGAATAACAGATAGATTAAGGATTCAATAAGGTGCTGCTATTTGACCTCTTCATGAACAACTAATATTATACTGTCTGTAGAAACCTTTATTTCATGGATAATAAGCGGTTATATTTATTTTTCTTGCCGAACCTAAAAGAGTCGCTTATAATCACTGGCTCATCATTATTACTTGCGGACAATATCAAGTCTGAATAATGATTAATAATTGGTCAAGGATTAAAAATCTATTTATTAAGCTAACTGAATGGTTTGGTTGATGGAATTCCGAAAATTATTCAAAGAAAAGTTATGTGTATTCAGACCATGGAATTTACTTCACGCTCTCCCCAAGGAGAGACAGAATCATTTGACGTGAAGGAATGAGGGATTTAAGAATGAGTGCCACCTTTTCATTAGAGAGAGCCACATATTATAATGCGACTGCAACCAATGCTTCCCGAATACTGTGGTCGTTTTGATGGGCTTCACAACGCTCAGATGGATTATTAAGTAGGGTCTTCTAGCCAACAGTGTAATGGACGTCATTCGAGATACATTGCATATATGGCCATTCCATGCTTTAGGAAGATAGCTGAAGTCTTTGACGGAGTACAATTGCAAGCAACCAGTTAATCGGTGGTATATTACATCATCTCTAAAAAGAAGAGGCTGTAACATATAGACCTCTTTTAGAGGAGAACCGGTAACGTAATCTTTAGCTCAGAGCATATTACTGGCAGACCCGGGGGGCAATCATTGCAACATATCCTCTGTATTCAGGAAACATTTCGAAAGCCATTGTGACCTGCGCTCAAATTACGGTCGAATATAATGCGAGTGGCATGCAGATTCTCACAGAAGATATCTTTTAAATGCGATTTTTCATTTTCTTGACGGATGGCTGTTCTATTTATAGTGTCTTGGAAAAAAAGTGATCTCCACGGAGAAATCCACTGCAGCCTATTTTGGCCATAACGAGTGTCATCCATATTTCGTCATCTGATTCTCTCTATTCCGTCAAAAATCTTAAAAACATAAATAACATTGTTGTGGTCGAGAGTAGACATCTCACCATACAATAACTGATTATTTTTACAGGTGTGTATCAGATTTGTTTATACTTGTCAAAGTAAATATAATGCTAAGAGTCAAACAACCGCAAATTCAAAGGGATCTTTTTCAGGTTGTCGCGAACTTTTTAACTTACTTAAGAAATCATGCTAAACCGAGGTTCATTAAGCCATCGAATTTATAATGATGGCCAGATTTGAAATTTGGTTTGGACAATATCTTGAACTGTTGCTATCTACGTAAATTATATAACACTTGTGTCACATAATTCCGATGAAATTCCTCATAATATACTTGAACACGCATTAAGCAAAAATGGATTTTGAAACAATTGCAAGCCAAATCATCCACAGAAGGAAGTCTTCGAGGCTAAAACCTTGGCAGAAACTGAAATCAAAAGTTATCGTCAATGTGTTTGAGAAAGTTAGATCGAAATATGACTCGGTTATGTTTGGAAAGTTTTCCGAGCTGCCGAGAATGAACAGCAAATCAATTCGAGTCTTCATAAGTTCCACATTTTCGGGTGAGTCATTGTGAGAGTCTAACCTTACATTTTTTATAGATCTAAACCTAGAACGTAATGTGCTGATGAAGCATGTCTATCCAAAACTAAAGGCGTATTGTCGTGAGAAGTATGGGTTCGATTTTTATGTGAGTTTTTATTCCGTACATAACATTTATGATTTGTAATTTGATAAAAAGTTTTTCGCTGACGTGACTAGCTCTCTTAACTTGAACTATAGACACTAGAGTTTCTATATCTGGACCATTATGTAGAACTCTACGAAGTAAGCACTGACAGGACTGTTGATTTGAGAGATTAACAAACACCGAATCTGTGTTGTAAAATGACGTTATTTCACAGGTTCTTATTAGTTGAAGACTACCAAATGAGTGAGTGATTTATCAAACTCTTGTTCTAAATGAGGAATTGTTATCCTCGACCACTGGGAAACTCATTTTTATGCAATATTTATTGATGATTAGATCTAATGTTTTTTATCGTTGACTTCTTAAAGATAGATAGATCGGATGTTCTATAGATCTGAACACTTTTAATCAAGACTTGTGTTTTAGTGTCACTAGCCTTTTACTGAAATTCTATGTCCCCACACTGATATGAAATAGTAGGGTCGCACTTAGAACAAAGCACATGAATTTGATTGGCCTAAAAATATGTTTGATCAAACAATTGCATGGAGCGAAAGACTTTACAATACTTGTGTCAACCCAACAGACGGCTGTTGTTGTTTTTTATTTTTGAATACAGCTTGATTCCACACTGTATTTTTGGTACAATTATGGAGCTTTCAGCATGGATATCGGTAGCCCGAATTTCGCAGGCCCATCATAGATATCAGGTGTGTGTCGTCAGGGGATCGAACCTCGGACCATGTGCATGGTCGGCGAGAGTCCTAATCACTGTGCCACCAACGCATTTATAGGCCGCACTGATCATCATCACGGTTGGTTAGCCAGTGTCAAGTTTGTTTGACTTCCTGGCGATACGTACTATAGGACTGATCCCTAGAAGTACGATCTCTAAGGCTAACTGGTGGGGTTATTTTGTTTTCTTGTCTGTAGGGATAACTGTATACGACGAACGATTATCGACCGTGAATAATTTCATAATGTGCTAAAAACGACTACTGGAATGCTGTCGTACCTCATGAGTCATGGATCTGTTTTTGCTTGTTGACTTATCTTATTTACTCATAAATTTTGGTGAAGAAGAGTGACCTTATACGGTCGTGGAAGCACGTTGAATTTCAATAATCTCTGGTAATAAGTTGACAGATCACTGCAGTTCTTGGTTCCAAGTTTTTGTCTTGAATAGAGAATCCCAATTTTCGTTGATCACAGACAAACTGAGAAAAAATTATTTCTGAAAGTTGCCTTGCTATAGTGCGTGTGCTTTAGTAATTATTCAGGCCACACTATCTAGTAACTCGGCAGATAGAGGATGATATGAGTACATCTTATAAAAAATTTTTTACTCATGGTGGTAAAGGAATTCAAACAACTCCTCAGCACATTTAATATATTATTTTGGATCAAATTACCAACCAGTAACTCGAAAACCATTGAAGTTTTTAATTTAAGATAGTCTAAAAATCACTACAGTAGTCTGAACTACCTACACAGGGTACATGTGAAATAAAGATTAGGCTTGATTATTTGATGGGTTGAGACCGCTGTCTGTCTGTCTGTTTGTTTTCGATGTAGAACTTTGCACATATGTGCGGCAGTTCGCGTTGCCACACTCCATGTAGCACACAAAACAAGAGAAGAAAGTAGAAGAAAAGCATAATAGAGACAGTAAGCAGAGGTGTGAGACAAAGGAAGAGTAATAACGAAGAACAAAACAGTTTCATTGGAAATCATAAATCACAAGGAGTGGATGCATCTGCGCCATTGAAACCTTTACCTAGATAATTAGACCAATTAAATGACTTTCTACGATTCAGACTCCTTGTCACATTTCATCAAATAAGATAAATCTACTGTGACAAAATTCGCTGAGATTGAGACATGTGGCTGCTACATATGTGAGGAACGCAGACTTGTGCGCTTGAACTGACTAACTTATATTAGTCGGCCGTACGAAGTGAGTCAAAATCGGTTGGATTTCACGCAACACATATGCACATTTTCACCCATAAACTACATTATAGCCTACCTTTAAGTTCAAAACATTACTGTATGCAGATGTTTACTAATTGGATTGCATTCTGACACGCCGTTACTCATGCTAACACCAACAACACTCTTGCTGACTTGGAGTATACGGACAATATTGTCTTCCTAGTTGAAGACGCTGATAAAATACATAGATTTCTGAAAACCTTGGGCAGTAATCCCCGAATATTTGGCATGCGACGTCCCCTGTCACGTGATGCTACGAAGATGAAATACACCGATTCCTAGCTTAACGATGGCGAGTGAACTTGCAGAGTGTGTTGACCACTTCTCTTAATTGGGAAGTTGCATCAGCACTTATGGAATCATTGTTGATGAAACCTCAGCACGGTTACAAATGGTTGGTTCAGCATTTGCCGACCCACGTCATCTCTGTCGTTGATGTCATATTTGGCTATCAGTCAGAGGACTGTGGACTGCACCACATTAGCTTAGAGTGTTAGGTAAGGACGGTAAGTCAATAGATGATGTTGGGGAGCCACATCGACTGAGATGGCTACAAGACCTGTTGAGCACGCCTAGCCGTTAGCTTTTCGGATGACTATCGTCTCCTGGTATAGAGTAAGGCTGAAATAGAGTTAGAGGTGACCAAATTGAAACTCTTTATCATTTAGTGGATTGATTGGCAGTTGGTCTGAACCACGTTGCTAGGTAAAGACTGCCTGATTGTGGACTTTGGAATACTAGGAGCCAATGACTAGAGACTGCTAGTGATATGACCCAAAATTTTTATCAGTGAAGCATATTCGTTCCCGCTTTGTGATCTTCCATGTCTACTGCACCATCTTTTTTCATGCTACTATTCTTTCCACTGCACATTTCTGCTCAATACATATAGCTCGTTTAAATCTCTTTTCCCTTTGTTTCTTCTCCTTTTTTGTACTACATGGGGCGTGATAACTTGAGCTATTTCACTGTCAGTTACTCGTATAAAGAATGACATCTCTCCCTCTTATAGGGGTGGAGAATCTACCTTCCACGTGTCCTATGTCATAGTGAAATCGATCACATTTAAATCGGTAAAAAATATATATATTCCATGTATTTTAAGGTGGAGTAACCTGCCAATAATCATCCTACAGATGGCAATGCTTTGATCCTACTCTCTCAGTTACATGTTATTACCGAAAACAACCAAAGGTTATGTACGCAAAGCTAGGAACTCTTATAACTCATTTAACTAACTGTTGTATAACCTGGCAGTCTCAATAAAAGATACTGGAATTTTTGGTCCAACCCATAATATACTTATGCTAATTGTAAGTGATTTGCTTTTCTGTTGATCGCAGGCTATCGATATGCGCTGGGGTGTGCCAAATGTCAGTCAGCTAGATCACCTCGGTCCGCAAACGTGTTATGATGAAGTTGAACACTGTAAATCTGTTTCAGTTGGCCCACCGTTTCTTGTAAGTGAATTTACAGAAATTCATATTACTTAAATTTTAGACAGTACTTGGTCAGCGTTATGGAGAATACGAGATTCCATTTAAAATTGATGCATATGAAATGGAACTTATCAAGGAATGGTCCAGAAAATTACCTGATGTGTCAAGTGAATGTTCTAACGCTTTGGATGAATGGTATTTACGCGATAAAAACGATATAAATCAAGCTTACCAGTTGAAACCTGTAGTGGAATCGTTTCAGCTAGTAAGGCATATGATATTTTATGATCAGATAAAGTGCGAAATCTTGTGTATACAAACTATGCTCACCCTGTTTTATTGGCCTTATAAAGCAGAAGAAATATTTATAGTAGTACGTTGTTAATAACAGCTCTAAGCTTTCTATAGCTCATTCCATGTCTACAAATCTGTTATCGATTCTGTTGGGAAATAACTGGGCATATTCATTTTAATAAATATCCAGAATCTGCTAGCAGGAAATATTCAAAAACATTTCATCGCAAAAAAATGGTCTTACTTCAGTTAAAGGAGGAGAGATACCACAGATGATTAAATGAAAATGTGAACGATTTTCTACTCACTTAGCGTCATACCATAAATGTTTAAATTTATTAAATGACTCTGTTTCTGGTAACCACAAAACATGTAACCTGTGTTGTTACTTGAATTACAAAATAATTCCAACACAACATTTAGATACTGTTGTAATTATGATTATATTTACTTTTCTGAAATTGTGAAGTCAGCTGACACGGCGAAAAACATAACAAACAGTTTTAATGTATTTATAGGGATTAAAACGTTATACTTTTTTCATCTGAAATGTTTGATAATATTAAAGGGGCATTAGACGGGAAGTGTTTAAGAGTAGATATAATTACAGAATACATTGAGATGAAGCAGAAATTGAATCTTTGGCATAAAGAGAGTCTGGAGTAACTTGACCACATGGGGGTAATTTCACGTCTAACAATCATGATTAAATTTCAGCTGGAATGGTTTAGAAAGATTTCAATGTGCAGTTTTGAAAAAAAGTCGGAGTATACTTGAAGTCGGATTGATACAGTTTAATAACAAGTCGTCTCACTGAGGTAGATACAACAGTAATTTCAGACTAGCGGCATTAAATTTAAATGCAGGGGATCTTTTGTGTGTGTTAAAATGAAGATCAAGACACTTTTGGGGCATAATGTAGAAAGCAAGTTGGTAAGCCACTGATACAAACAGAATTACGGATGACCTCGAACTTAGACACACTTGTTCAGCTATATCTGAACAGCCTGATAACATCTCCTCTGCCATCAGCCAATCACTTTAAGCTTGACGAAGTTTATTAAGCCACTAAATTACTCATATTGCAGTAAAAATTGTCAAGTAGCGAAAATAAAATGGCTAGTTGTTTTCAAACAAATACTTTATGTAACTCAGAGATGGACACCCAATACAATGAAATGGACGTCCACATATTCGATGGGACAAAAAACAGATAATTGCAAGAAACTAGTCTCGGCAACTTTTAATACAAGAATTAAGTTCAAACAGACACCTTATTGCTTGCATTCATTAAACTATGTTGTCAAAAGGTAAGGCATTTAGATTAAAATGTCATACATATAACCATAGAAAAAATATTGAATTGAGAATTTAGAAAAGTCTTTGCTACTTCATTTTAATGTACTTTACAATTACTGTTTTTCAGCGTCTCCAAAGATACATGTAACAGATTTATTTTAACTATAAAGATATAACTATAAAGATTGTTCATATGAAGTTTAGAAAAATTAGACTGGTCTGTGTTATAAAGGTAAACAGACTCAGAATGACTTACAACAATCAAGTGTCTGTTTAATAAATGATTACTAGTTTCATATTTGTGGTGAAATAAGCAATCATATATTTTTTAAAGGTAGATTCTGGATACTATGCGTTTTTTCTACCCATCCAGAGGGAGAAATATGGCAGAAGCATTTAATTTGATGACTTGATAAGCTTTATTGCATACTTAGATTTCACTTTGCATTTGATTAAGGTTTACGATGGTTCAGTGATGGAATGTTCTCTAACCATATATGAGGTCCAAATTTAATCTCGAATGAACTCAGTCCTGAACCTCAGGTAGCTTTATAGCCGACAATAAGGCCGGAAAACAAGAAAAGACGGAGTGTGAGACTAGCAACCCCACTGCGTAAAAGACAACAACCGCTGCTGAAACTTCAAAGCTCAGACTCGGTTCTTAATGTTCCACTCGTAGTGCAAAGAAATAAAAATGTTCGACAGAAATAACTGTTAAAAATTAATTATGTAACACTTTTTGGCACTATCAGGTAATTTATCTGAGTTATAGAGAATAACTTAACATATGTTATGTTATATACGTTAGCTTACAACTAAGTGTCTTCTACACAGACATATCAGAATAGATACTTGCACAAAAGTGAATCAGTTCACTGTGTTAGCTGGACAAGCGGTAACAATGACAGTTATTGTTGTTCAGACCCTAAATTAATTATATAAGTAGGTATCTAATCTCCTCAACAGTTTTTTTATTAAAAGTAGCTTACTACTTAATGACTTCTTTGGTTAGCATAAGTTAAATCTATTCCAATTTCAGAAACAGTAGTAGTGTAAAAATCTACTGAATGGCTGGTGGAAATTAACAGAAATTACAGATATGTGACTTATGTTACCTTTTTTAGATAAGTACTTAGCTACTACATCAAATGGTAACACACTCTTCCTTCTCCAGTTATTTTTAAAAGCTTCTACTACATCAGAGTGATTCTGTTTCAGAGAAACCAATACTATTATACTCAGGCACTCAATCATTTCAATATTGTCTTTTAAGTGAACATATTATTATTATTGCTCCCTTGGGTTCCTAGTGGAACATAGGGCTTCAACTGCACGTCTCCACTTGACTTCTGTCTTCTGCTGTACTTTTCGCTTGCATCCACGTTAGTCCATATACTTTCAACTCCTCTTCACACGATTTCCTCCATTTCACACTTTGACGTCCCACACACCGCTTCGCTTTCGGGTTCCACTCGAGGGCATGATGCGCGATGTCACCCAGCGGTCTCCTCAGCGAGTGTCCGATCCATCTCCACTTTCTCCTGCATATTTGTTGGGCGATTGGTTCTTGCTTTGTTTGTTCCCATAATTCCTTGTTGGTGATTCTTTCCGGCCATCTGATCTTCAGTATAGAGCGAAGACAGTTGTTAATAAAGGTCTGCAGACTTTTGGAAATATTCTTTGTGCCCCGCCAAGTTTCTGATCCGTATAGAAGAACTGACTGACTTGACGTTTGTATTGAAAATCCGAATTTTGTTGGTGATGCTGAGTGACGAAGATTTCCAGATTGATTTCAGGCTGATGAATGTGTTTCTCGCCTTCCCGATTCTCGATTTGACATCCTCGTCCGCTCCTCCTGTAGTTGAGACAATGCTCCCTAGATAAGTGAGTGAATGAAGTAACCTCTTTCAAATCCCTCCCGTTGATGGTGATTGACGTTGGATGTTGCTGCTGTTGTTGTTGTTGGTTGGTTATTTTCATAACCTCCGTCTTGTCTATGTTCACCTGGAGTCTGTCCTGCTCTTCGACCAGTTTGTCGGTTTTCGCTTGTAAGTCTTCGATTTTGTGTGACATCAAACCTTAATCATCCACGCGCGAAATCCAGGTCTTCTAGGTTCTTCACGTCGGTCCAGGATATTCCTGTCTTCTCGTTTCCCACTGTCTGACGCATAATTCAGTCCACCACAATTAGGAATATCATTGGTGATAGTAAGCACCCTTGTCTGACTCCTGTGTTTACTCCAAACGCCTCGCTGAGTTTTCCGTTGTGGATCACTTGACATGTGCCGTTGTCGTACAGCTGTTGAATAAGGTTGATGAATATTTGGGGTACGCCGTAGTACTCGAGTAATTTCCAAATTACTTCACGATCAACGCTGTCGAAGGCCTTCTCAAAGTCTATAAAGTTGAGGTAGAGGTTTGATTGCCATTCCATGCTTTGTTCTGTGATGATGATGCGTAGAGTTGCAATTTGGTCAGTACATGATTTGCCTTTCCTGAATCCAGCTTGTTCTGGTCGGAGTTCTGTCTCCAGTGCGTCCTTTAATCTCTCCAGGATGATGCGACTCAGGATTTTACTTGGCGTCGATAGGAGCATGATTCCTCGCCAGTTCTTGCAGAGTGGGCCTAAGTCGCCCTTCTTTGGTAGTTTCACGAGGTAACCTTTCCTCCAGTCAGTAGGCACCTTTCCCTCCTTCCAGACCTTTTGCAATAATGGAGTCAGCATGTCTGCTGTCGTCTCTGGGTCTGCTTTCAGTGCTTCAGGGGGTATTCCATCTGGTCCGGCTGCTTTTCCAGCTTTCAGAAGTTTGATTGCGTTCAAGACTTCAGCTCTCGTTGGAGGATTGGTGTCAACTTGCAGTTGTGTGCGCGCTGTTGTTGGTATTTCTGGACGGGTTGCAGGTGATGGTCGGTTCAAGAGTCCTTTGAAGTGATCCGCCCATTGTTTAATCTGTTTTTCTTCCTTGGTAATGGGCTTCCCTTGGCTGTCTTTTATAGGTTTCGCTTGTGTTGGTCTCTTCCCGGATAGAGATTTGGTTATCTGATATAGTGTCCTCAGGTCCCTTTTGCCTGCTGCCTTCTCAGCTTCAGTAGCTAGGTTGTCGTAGAATCGTCTTTTGTCCTTCCTAGCACTCTTCTTCACTTCTTTGTCCAATGCTTTGTAAGTTGAGCTCATCGTCTCCTTCTCCTGTCCGTCCTTGCATTGAATCATTTTCTCTTTCACCATTCTCCTCTCTTCTATTAATTTCCAAGTGTCCGTTGAGAGCCATTCCTTGTCTTGTCTCTTCTTTCTTCCTAGAACCGTTGAACACGTTTCGTTGAGAATCGCCTTCAGAGACTTCCAATGTTCTTCCACGCATGATTCTTCAGTGCTGTCGCGTAGTGTTTCCTGCTTTGCTCTGACAGTTGCAGTGAAAGTGTCTTTTGTGGTTGTGTCCTTCAGTTTGAGTGTTGAACTTGCATTGTGGCCTATCCCCAGCTATCCTCGAGGCTTTTAGTTTCACCTTGAAAGTCCCTTGTACTAGATAGTGGTCTGAACCCACATCTGCTCCTCTCCTTGACCTTGTGTCCAGTAGGCTCCGTCTCCACTTTCTTGAAATTGAGATGAAGTCTATTTGGTTCTTGGTGTTTCCATCTGGTGAAATCCATGTCGTCTTGTGTATATCCTTGTGTTTGAACACACTACCACCAATCACCAAATCATTGAAGGCGCAGAAGTCTGAGAAGAGTTCACCATTGTCGTTCATTTCGCCGAGGGCCTCACGACCCATGGTGAGTTCTCTTCCTGTGTTGTCTCGTCCCAGCTTCGCATTCATGTCGCCCATCAGGATTTTGATATCGCCATTTGGGACGTTGTCCATTATTGCTTGTAGTTGTCTGTAGAACGCCTCCTTCTTCTCTTGTTCTGAGACGTTTGTAGGCGCATAGCATTGAATGACTGTAACTTTCCTTCCTTTTGAGTTGAACCTGGCTGTCATTATCCTGGAGGAGATTGGTTCCCACTGCATGAGAGCTTTGGCTGCTGTTGGTGACATCATGATGGCCACTCCCTCGGTGTGCTCATGGTTGTCCTCTGGGTGGCCGGAAAGATTACTGTCTCTCCAGTAGGTAGTTGGCACCTTCCAGTTCCGTTCCATCTGCTCTCGCAGATTCCCAACACTTCTATTCTGTACCTTCTCATTTCAGCGGCTATCTGGGCAGCCTTTCCAGTTTCGTACATTGTGCGAACATTCCAGGTACCCATCCTTACTTTTGCTTTCATCGAAAGAAGGCACATCGGCTGACTGGCTTCCCGAAGGCTTTCACCAGCCTGCGTCATTTCACTTCCCCGATTCCAGCGAAAAGTAAGGCTATTGCTTATGTTTTTAGAATTTTTAATATATTTATTCGTTGAAGTTTCTGTAGCGATTTGGTTGTTTTACAGGGGTGGAGTTGCTAGCACCACGCCCCAACCCTCCCTCTTTACCCGGGCTTGGGACCGGCTAGAAAACTAGTAAGCTAGTAGCCTAGCAAGCTAGTATCTGGCGAGGTTAAAGTGAATATAATATATATGTAATTCGATCTTCAGTCATCTTCTTCTCTTCAATAGGTAGACAATAATATCGTACAAAAAGCTAAACAACGATGGTATGAATGCCGTAAAATTATGCAAGCTGGAATAAGCAAAATAATTCCAGTTCTGACAGAAAAAGGACTAATAACAAAGCAAGATGCAAGAAAATATGCAATTTCAGGTAATATTTAATGTCAATTCATTCATGGTACCTTTAATTTTAAATTGTGCTTTTGTTTCACAATGAAGTGTTTGTCATTTTCTATAGATCTACCACTCCTTGAGTTTTATACTGTATTGGCTAGACTTTATATTTCAGTCTTAACACTTATTTAACGAGTTGTTTTTTATGCATTTCTCATAAGTTTCCGTAGGAAAATTCTTCCATCCTAGGCAGTGAATTAAAGTTTGGCTAATCTTATTTGTATTTATTTATTGTAGTCTTTTTTATTTTATTTATTAGTCTGTCTCTATAACTTGAACTCTTTTGTACTTTGATCATTTCATCGCTTTTATCTTTATTTCCTTAGTCTGCACCAGTGGCATATTGTTGCTGCCATGAATACCTATGAAAGTTTGATTCCAACGACCTACATATTCTGTTTGAAAGTCATATCAGTTGCTTTTATTTCTTTTCTAAGTTTCTGCTTATTGTCGTTTGCAGCTTCAACTTTGGTATTTGATATCACAATCACTAGATCCGCTTTGATTTGACTTTGCTTTAGATAGTTTCACTTCTGATATTTTGTTTGATAGTGGCTAGTATTGAAATCAAAGGTATCAGTCTAGTCCAATTCTTCTAGGAATCTGCAATTTCATATCGTGATGTTTAACTGAAATCTGGTGGTATTCCCCAACTCGTTGTCGGATAGAGCGGTCAGATGATTCGCTTTCCTTTAAAACAGTAATTGACGCTACTTAGAAAACTACTGAATATGAAGAAACATGAATCAAGTGTTTCATTTATTCTTGTTTACAATTCCTCCCTGGTGTATACCCTTAACCCCAAAAAATTCTTATGATGACACAGAACTGCATTTCTAAAGATTTCTTTCTCTCACATTTTTCAGTCGAACTCGGCACGTGACATCCAGTGCTTATTAATGACCCCCTTTAATAATAAAAATTTTATGGAGTTTTAATTCAGATCACTTGAGCCATACAAATCAGAAATGAAGACAGTTACACGCGGAATATATTAAATGATTATATTGAACACTTTTTTACGGTGAAATATGGATATCTGAATTTAGACTCGTTGTCAGAATTCCATTTTATATAGGGTTGAAATTTCTGATTTCCAAGAAAGATTTAAACTTGAACGAAACAGTTGTGTAGTACTCCATTTAATTTCTCGATTGATTCTTTTTTAATATTACAGGGCGGTTAAAATTGCAAGAAATCACTGCTTGAATGTAGCTGTTAACATATCAAAGTATATGACATTTCTGTGTGTCTTCCCTGTTGTACTGCCATCAGCTGTGAGCACCATTTAACTAGTGACGTAATCTTTTGACCGAGTTTTAAACTGCTTACTTGGAAATTGAAAATGGTCTACATTTATTACTACGCACAATCATTAGATCTGTGCGAATCTCAGCATAATAGCGAATTTTAGTATTGTAATTAAAAATTTCAAAGTACTTTAGTAACTGTTATCTTCTGTGTATTGTGAGTATGATTAAACAAACCATTGTTTATAAGGACGAATGATAAAACTGCATCACGTGAAATTTTTAAAAAAATTTGTAGGTGTCGTTTTCGCTGGAATCAATCAGTAACTGATTATCATAGTGTTACAGAATATTTGCAGTTGAAGACTTTCATCATCGTCAAATGTTTCATTTACTTTTTTCCTATTACTTATCATGCAGTCATTTGTGATAATATTAATAATAGTAATAATAGTTCAGTAGTACTAGTACTGACTGCAGCAAAACTGGAAATTCATGTTAACGAAAACAAAACACGTAGATCAGCGAAGAGTCCCTTTTTCGATGGCAAATTCATTTTCTTAGCTGTACAATCGCAAATATATATGTGATATTTTGTATGTATGTGTACATTAAGTTTGTCAAACAAAATTACAATTGGTTATGTTTATTTTAACTAAACAAGTAAAGACTGGTAATTGGAGTTATGTAATAAAAATTCAGTCAAGAAAATTAGGTGTTAATGAAACTACTGTCGTAACAAAGGTGATGAGTTGTCACAAACAGTTGTTAAAAGTTATGTAATAATATGAATAGTTTGATGCGTGAGTTTTACTCAGGATGCACATAGGGACAAAGTGGATAATACGAAATTACATAACTTCGTTTAACAACTGTTTGTGACAACTCATCACCTTTATTACTGCCCTAGTTTCATTAACACCTAATTTTCTTGACTTGTATTACCAATCTTCACCTGTTTAGTTAAAATAACCATAACCAATTGTAATTTTGTTTGACAAACTTAATGTACACATACATACAAAATATCACATATATATTTGCGATTGTACAGCTAAGAAAATGAATTTGCCATCGAAAAAGGGACTCTTCGCTGATCTACGTGTTTTGTTTTCGTTAACATGAATTTCCAGTTTTGCTGCAGTCAGTACTAGTACTACTGAACTATTATTACTATTATTAATATTATCACAAATGACTGCATGATAAGTAATAGGAAAAAAGTAAATGAAACATTTGACGATGATGAAAGTCTTCAACTGCAAATATTCTGTAACACTATGATAATCAGTTACTGATTGATTCCAGCGAAAACGACACCTACAAATTTTTTTAAAAATTTCACGTGATGCAGTTTTATCATTCGTCCTTATAAACAATGGTTTGTTTAATCATACTCACAATACACAGAAGATAACAGTTACTAAAGTACTTTGAAATTTTTAATTACAATACTAAAATTCGCTATTATGCTGAGATTCGCACAGATCTAATGATTGTGCGTAGTAATAAATGTAGACCATTTTCAATTTCCAAGTAAGCAGTTTAAAACTCGGTCAAAAGATTACGTCACTAGTTAAATGGTGCTCACAGCTGATGGCAGTACAACAGGGAAGACACACAGAAATGTCATATACTTTGATATGTTAACAGCTACATTCAAGCAGTGATTTCTTGCAATTTTAACCGCCCTGTAATATTAAAAAAGAATCAATCGAGAAATTAAATGGAGTACTACACAACTGTTTCGTTCAAGTTTAAATCTTTCTTGGAAATCAGAAATTTCAACCCTATATAAAATGGAATTCTGACAACGAGTCTAAATTCAGATATCCATATTTCACCGTAAAAAAGTGTTCAATATAATCATTTAATATATTCCGCGTGTAACTGTCTTCATTTCTGATTTGTATGGCTCAAGTGATCTGAATTAAAACTCCATAAAATTTTTATTATTTAAGGGGTAACGGAAAGGTACGGAAAGTTAACAATGGAGCAATTAGGAGCGCCATTATTGAGCATATACTCAACACTGGTCATTCGATTTGCAAGGAGAAGTCATTCAAAGTCATCTATAAAGTCAAAAGAAGCCTTCCAAAATCGACAAGCTTCCGTATACTTTGTATTGCCGAAGCCTTAGCGATTTGGATAGAAAAGCCTGAATTATGCACACAGAAGAAACTTCTCCACCCCCTCCTACTACCGTGGGTTTAATTTCAAGTTCATCTGTCATCAACATTTTGTTATCAAATTTCTTTTCCAATATTCGTATAATAATTTTTAGTAACTAACCCATTCAATCTTTTCACCTATTATCTAGTTTATTTTCATAATTGTCTCCATGCTCCTTCACGAACATCTAATCTTTCTAAACATGTCTATATTACGTAACCCTACTCACATCTTACCAATTTTCACCCCACTTAGTTACAACTTTGATTACTATTCACACAATTTAATTACTTTATTATTTTGATGATGTAATCAACAACCCACACTAACTGTTATTTTGATTTTGACAAACCTTATGTACACACACACAAAAATAATTGTATATATTTGCGACTGTACAGCTAAGAGAATGAATTCGCCGAAAAGAGACTCTTCGCTGAACTAATTTTTTCTTATTTCTTATTTCAATGTCTAAATGGGTATTTTTCGCGAATTGTAAATTTGTTTGACAAACTTAATGTACACATTCATACAAAATACCACATATATATTTGCGATTGTACAGCTAAGAAAATGAATTTGCCACCGAAAAAGGGACTCTTCGCTGATCTACGTGTTTTGTTTTCATTAATGCCTGGATGGGGATTATCCATGAATTCATGTTAATCTCAATCAATTTTAAGTTTAAATTTTAGTAAGGTTTGACGTATTGCCACATTAACTGAATATTGGATAAATATTTGTGTTTCTGTGACCAGCCTACAAAGTATTTACTATCCTACTTTTTGATCTTAACTTTGATTACCACTGAATTCAGATCTTAATGGAACTTTTACTATGGTACGAAACATACTATGGTTTTCTAATTTGAAATGCTGTTAACAAAATTGCAGGACGTTGTAAAAAGTGTTTCTCTTCAATTTGATATGCGTTTCCAATGAATCGGAATAAACAATGGTACGAATATGAATTCATCCTAGTAAATCAATGGGGAAATGTGAATGAAGTCTAACAATAGGTAAATTGGGGTGATGCATAAAAGAAGTAGGTATGTTTACAGAGTAAACAGAAAAACAACTCCATTTCATCTAAGTAATGATCTTCATTTAGCCGTGCACAAAGAGACTCATGACGAGCCAACCAGGAACCAACTGGGCAACAAATATAGAGGAAGAAATGGAGGCGGACTGGCCATACTCTGAGAAAACAATCAAGTAACATCACGGGAAACGTCGAGTTGGTCATCCTAGGGTGATATAGAGGAGGTCATGTGAAGAGGAGATGAAAGCATGTGAGCAGGCGTTGAGCCAGGTGAAAACATTGGGAGAGAACCGAACGCGATAAAGACATGCTGCTGAAGCCCTATTTTACTCTAGGAATTAGAGGAAAGAATAATAATAATGGGACTGATAGGATCTACTACTACTTGACAATAGTTCAGCTTTTCATAACTCACCTGTACCTCAGGGCATGAGGTAATATGAGCGGAGATAAGTAAATAACCAGACGTCGTGGAATGGTACAATGGAAACCTCTGATTGACTTACAGTTCTTTCAATGCATCCAACCAGACCATTAACTCTGCAGGTTGATACAATACTTTGGTCCCAACTACTTCTCTACCTCTGCCGTCCGCAATGTTTACATGCTTATCCTATCATATTTCTTCGAAATCACAGTTATCGAATGGGTGAAATTTACTCAGTTTTTTAACCTTTGATAAATATGTTTTAAAGGCAAGTTACAGGACAGATATCACTGCACTATGTGTTTAAAAGTTACTGTTCTGTAAAAACGTCTGAATAAAATATTGGGACTTTTAAGTAGTGCAGAAAGTGTTTATTTAACGTTGATTTACTAACATTTTATCAGTGGATTTAACTTCATCTAAAGTAGGTTCATATTCATCAAATAAAATATTTTAATAAAACCTTTACTTTGGTTATATTTGAATTGTTTTTTTTCTGAATCTACAAATTTAATTACCCACTGTGTACAGAGTATATCTTTAGATTTTTTTTCCCTTATTTAGTCACTGAACATGAAATCGTATTAGGAATATTGAATGCAGACGATACAATTAAGCGTAGATGTGCAGCGTTTACACGAACTATCAAAGAATTCGATCAAGTTATACAAAGTAAAAACGCAGAAAAGTATGTTGATGTGTGTAGAAGTGGAAAACTTAGAATCAACTGTTTCTTGTGCATTTCTCTTGTTATTAATTTTATATCTTTTTCTTTTTATAGATTTCTGGATTTAAATCACGACGGCACACTAGATGAAACACGTTATGAGCAAATTAATGATTTAAGAAATATAACTTTAGCTGCTGTATTAAAGGAAAATAATATACGTACCTATGAAATACCATGGAATGTAATTGAAAATAATGGCCTAGAACGTAAGTTTATGGAGTGGTAGACAGTTCCTGTAATCATAAACTGATTTTCTTTTACAATTCGATATCTGATTGATTGACTGACGACCTAACTGTCCACTTAAAACTTCAATCACAAAGACTACAGATCTTCATGTGGCTCAAACTAACAGTTAAAGACTTGGTGGACTAATGTCAGGATTCCGATTTCACCACCAATAACTCTCTTCCAACCTTATGCGATATTAATAATATTGCTTGATGAGGAGGAAGACAGCTTTGTACACGTAATATGTATCCCAGTTGTGCCAACTGATATCGCTTCACAATATCATCTATTGAATTTTCCTCCCTGCCTAAAGCTTGACGCCTAACCTCAATTTTACCCACCGTTTTATACCATCTAACATGAGAGATAGACCGCAAGCATCTCTTGTCAAAGACGGCTGGCTTGGTTATATCTTATCCTTTGAACAGGCATGTTTTACGGCCATAAAGAAGGAGGGAGTAAACTGCAGCACAGTACACACATCTGTTTTTAATTGCTTCTTCTATAGTTGTTGAATGTTTGAGATCTAATCACTTGTTGGCGGATTCATCTATGTTAGCACACATGGTAGTATTAGCTTATTTATCTTAATGTAAAGCTCGACGAAGTGTTCTTTCGTTGTGTACTGCAAAAGGAGACTTTGAAACTGATAGCAGTATATTTTATATACGATTAATTCACGTTTAACCCCTTCCAGCCTCTCCGAAGAGCTTATTATATTTGCAAAATCTAGGCCTACAATAATAGAAAACGGTGTATGTTATTTATCTGTGTTTAAGTAGAACAAAATTTCAAAAAAGATCATAAGAATTCATCACTTGCTTCTATCAAGGTGAATTTTGTCATAAACCGACGTCAGTTAGGAAAGAGCTAGAAAGCACTAGACACTTGTTTCGTCTTCATTTGAGACTTTAAGAGTGTGCACCTATAACCCCTTCCCCACTTCAGTTAATTTTCATACATAAAGTATTTTATACAAAATGACCATCAGTCGACCTATAGCATATCGTCTTCATATATCATGTCAACAAAGTAAGAATATATTTTTGCTCGAAATAAGATCTTCATCCTCAACACATCATCTAGATTATCTGTTATCTTTATTCAATAACAGATTGATCTTAAAATAATCTGCTTGCGAAATTCAATTTTCGTTGTTTAAAAGCACCAACAAATTTAGATTGTAGGATTCTGTATGGATGTAGATCAGTATGAATGGAGATTTAGTCACAAACCGACATCGGCCAGCGACCATTTGAAACCAGACAGCACTGGACACTAAAATTAATCCAAATTCCTATGAAATCCTACAATCTAAATATCTGTCTCCATCTCATTGATGACTGCTGGATGGGTATTTCATAGCTGTAGTTGAAATTCGTGACCGAGGGTGTCTACCATCACATGGCGAAATGGACGCTCACCGAAGACTGAGGTGATTGGCTTAGGTTGGCTCTTTACTTCAAATTAACAAAGTTCACTAGTCACTGAATTCCCACCCAAATAGCTGTATGGTCAACAAGCTTAATCTTCATAACCTGAAGGTCTCTGGTTCGATATGTGGTAAAATCGTGAGTGTGCATTTCGGAAGAATCCTAAATTAATACAAAACAGCTTTCCAGTACTCCCTGGTTCTCAGTGATCCCTAACTGATGTTCGTTCATGACGAAATCTACATTAGAACTAACAGAATTAACACCAGAAAAATATTCAACAAAACCATTTTTTCAGGATGTAAAATGTAATGGGATAAAACATTTGATATGAAATAATTATCTGCTCTGTTATGTTTTTTATTTTCTATCTTATCATTAAAGGTTCATTATATTTACGAAAGTTTAGTATGGATTTTGAAACCAAAACAATTGCTTTAATTGATAAAGCAGTATCAGAAATGTCAAACTTTGAAAATGATGACTTATATGTTGAAGTATTACAGCATTTAACACAATGTGTTGAATTTGTTAAAGAATTTCATGGTCGTTCCAATGTATTAGAAATCGTCAAAAACTATATTCAATCAGACTCTTCAGGTACAGTAAAAAGAAATGAAGTGTTACATATAACTTTATTCATTTGGAATTGGTGACGAAGTTTTTTTTGAATTTTATATAACTTATTTAGTTTTATTAATTTAAGAGCTAATCATGTATAGAAAGGAACTCGACTGCATTATGTAAGCCATTATGTGAACTTGTATCCCACCTCTGACAAACTTTTGCGTTGGTGGCACAATGGTAGAATGCTCGCCAACCATGCATGTGGTCCGGGGTTCGTTCCCCGGCTGACACACTCCTTTACCTCGCTAAGCCAGTAATAAGACTGGTAAAGACGGAAGGTTGGAAGTGAGGTTAGAAACCCCACGCCATAAAAGTAAACACCACTGCTACCGAAACTTCAAAGCTCTAGCCTGAATCCTTGTGTTCGACTAGAAACGTAAAGGAATAAAAAAAATGTAAACTAAACGCTGTCTAAAAATGTTAAAATACTTTTCGTCGTTACTTTAAGTCTTACGATATATTTATACCATTGACATAAAGTAAATGATTTTTCATGCAATCAGATTTTGATCATACTAAGCAGCGACAGTCTAGCTTTATGTCCATTACATGTATAAAGTTAGTTTATCTGTGATATATATATATATATATATATATATATATATATATATATATATCATATAGTAAAATAATTTAATAAATCGGAAAATGTCTTGAAAACATTTTATTGTTCATTTTCCTATTGACTGTACATTCAAATCTTTAAGTATATGTTTTTATAAGTGGTATTTTCCTCCTCTCTCGACCCAAGGTGTGGAAAAATCTCTCAGGTTTCCGAAATAGGTTTACAGTCATTTCCGCCACCGATATCCCAGGTCTGTTGGATATAACTTCACTCATTTCTTTCTTTTCCCTACTATGCTACGTTAGATATTAGAATAGTTATCCAGTCCCATAACATTGTATTGTAGTGCAAATGACATATTCAGCGTTCACTGTATGTACATAGAGAAAAAGGACTATGGTATAATGCGTAACTGTATGGAAAACCAATGAAGTTCGAAAGAGGTTGGACAGTTTTTTCTTCACTGTAAGTTTTTTCAGAAGCCTTTAGCATCTGTCCTAAAAGTGCCGATATCAAGATTGTTACTCTTAAGGTGTTGAGTTCCTTCACGTTCACAGTAGAACTTAGGGCTTCAAGCCTCCAGCTTGAAGTTTCAGTTGCTGTGATGTTTATTCTTACAGGATGGGGTTGCTAGCTTCATGCCCAACCTTTCCTCTTTACCAGTCATATTATTGGCTTAGCGAGGTAAAGGAGTGCGTCAACTGAATCATATACACGGTTGGCGAGCGTCTTGACCACTGCACCACCGACGCTACTGAATTCCCTTGGTAATTCTTAAGTATTGCTTCTCAATGACTACTTCATTTTATCTTTCTTTTGAATATTCTCTTTATTCATTTAAAAACTAGCTGCAATTTTTAGCCAATAAAATTTCTTATTGCGTGACAACTTCATTTCTTTAAATGATCACTTTTTTCTACTGAATACCACAGTTTTGTTTACTGGTACAGACACTAAAATACTTTAGTAAAACTTTAGAAAATAGTATTATCAGAAAGAATATTTCCCCTACTGAATAAATGTTTCCTGGATCATTCAAATAATTTCTTTAACTTAATTGGGATGCTCCTTATTGGAGTAAAGTATTATAAGTTCACTGACGTGTATCAGAACTTTTAAAGTAATACAATAAAAGCATTTGACTGACTAACTGACTAACTTGTATATCAACGTAGAATGTCGTACAGAAATGCATCCTTTGAAGTAACTACACTTCGAACAAGCTCACACTAAAGTAAAGAAAAACAGTAATGAAAATGTACAAGAGAAAGAATAATTAGACGACGATTAGTGGAGGTTTTCAGGATCTGGAAGGTGACAATTTATGAATACATCTCCGCTAAAGAGAACATTTTCGAGTCGTGTCACCATTAGTAGCAATCCAGTGATGTTTAGCATACCGAGTACACCAGTTAGGTGAATTAAATAGCACAAGCAACCTAATCACTAATTACTCACTATTAGTTTTAATAGCTTAGCTAATATAAATATGCCAGTCAAATAATTCTTCCTTTCTTCTCTGAAACAGATACAAGAACGCTTCTAGATACTTTCAAAAGAGTATGTAAATAAAAATTCAGTCTTTCTGTCAATTGATTATTAACCTGTTTCTCACATTTAAGTGAAGACTTACCAAACAAAAGTCTGAACATCATATTATGCGTTATAATCAGTAGTTTATAACTTTATTTATTTGACTTTTGTTTAAAATAATAAATTTTTTGTAATCCCTAGGTCCATTTGTACTTTACGGTCAGTCTGGTAGTGGTAAAACCTCAGTAATGGCCAAACTTGCAGTATCAGTTAGAGAGTGGATTGATGAAATAATTGATTCTACAAAAAATAATAATAGTAATAATAATAGCCATATACGATCTCGATCAAAACATTCAAAAAGTGATAAAGTAAATATGGAGGAAAAAGAAGTAGTTTCAAGTGATGCAACATGTAATGTTACACTTAAAAATAATAATAATCATGACACTTCAGCTGTGACCCATGATTCTACTTCACCCCGTCACTTTCAGTCACCTATCGTAATAATACGATTTCTAGGAACAAGTCATGGTACGTCAACATTACGTCAGACACTGAAATATATCTGTCGACAACTTGTTGCAAATATCAATAGTATTGGAAGTATGAATAATGCTGAGTCGTTTACATTTATCGATGCCGAAGTTATTCGTGCACAAGATGATTTCCAGGTAAAACCGATTAATTATTTCTAAGCATAATTTCCATTTTATTAAGGCATCTGAATTTTCGAATTACATTTATGAAATTCACAATGCTAAATACTGCTAGGCGTCAACTACAATCGATCGAAATGGCATTTATTTACTGCAGTATATATATATATATATATATATATATATCATTTATTCTCATGTCTTCCCACCTTATTGTCTGTATTTATTTTAACACTTGACTTTTGTTGAGTTCCTTTTCTAGCATCTAAGATATATAGCTACCTGAATTACCGAAATTTTCCTCAAGGTTCTATGCTGATCTTACCGTCTGACTGAATAGAAAGCCATTACATAGGATTATTCAAGTATATGTATCTTCTTCCAGTCCAATAATAATAACTAAGTAACTAAGATTGGGCGTGAGGTTAGTGATCCCACGCCGTAAAAGTAAACACCACTGCTACCGAGACTTCAAAGCTCTAGCTTGAACCTCTAACTCACTTCAGAGCCACAGGGATTGACTTGCTACCAGGGAATAATCTCGTTGACTTAGAATATGCAGACGATATAGTGCTTCTAGGCGAAGACGCTGACGAAATGCAGAGTCTTCTGAACACCTCGAGCTGCAATCTACGAATTTTTGGCATGCGATTCGCTCCCTCTGTCAAATGTAAGATGGTGTTACAGGACTGAACCACACTGACTGCTAGTTTAGATATTGGAAGTGAAGGGATAGAGCACGTTGACCGCTTCACTTACTTGGAGAGTTCCATCAGCCCCAACGGGTTGGTCTCTGACGAAATCTCAGCACGGATACAGAGGGCTAGTTTCGCATGTGCCAGTTTACGCTGTCTCTGGCGTAGACGTGATATCCAGCTGAATATCGACCAAAGGGCGGGTGTACTGCTCATCAGTTCGCTTCGTCCTTCTTTATGAATATGAGTGAGACATGGTCATTGAGAGTGGAAGACATGAAAAGATTAGCTGTCTTTGATCATAGGTGCCTGCGTTCTATTTCTCGTGTGAAGTGGTATAATAAGGTGAGAAATATTGAGGTTAGACATCGGTCGAGTTCTAGGTAAGGAGGGGAAATCAATCGACGAGGCTGTGAAGTTACATCGACTGATATGGTTAGGACATGTGTTACGTATGCCTAGTCATCGCCTTCCTCGACAGACGGGCAATGTTAGCTGACATAGAGTCAGACTGGAAAAAAGAGCTGGCGGCGGTCAAACCAAAACATGGCACCAGTCAGTGAAATCCACAACAGTTAGTCTAAGGCACGTAGGAAGGTGTAGACTTCCTGACTAGTTGGGGTCCTCTGGACGGTAAAAATCTATGGTTGTAAACAATTGGTGATATGGCTCAAAATCGTTCTCAATGACGCAGATGCATCCACTCCTTGCGACTTATGATTTCCAATGAAACTATATTTTTCCTGGTTATTACTATTCTTTTGTCTCACACCTCTGTTTACTGTCTCTAATATGCATTTCTTCTATCTTCTCTTTCTTTGTGCGCTACATGGAGTGTGGCGACTCGGACTGCCGCACATTTGTGCAAAGTTCTATGTCGGAAACAGACAGACGGACAGACAACTAAGTAACTACAATTGGTATGTTTCCTTCATCCTGCTAGACTGTCTACATCGTTTAGAAATTATTTCAACTTTCCGAATGTATATCTTCTTTATCACCTTTTTTTATTGTTTGTTTTTCTAATTAAAACTGTCCCTGGTAAAGTTTATTGATAATTGTTTAATTTCAGGGTAGATTCCTTCATGAAGCGATATCAGTTACAGAAACATTGAAAACCAAGAAGCACTAGACAGTTATTTCGATCTAGTTTGGGACTCTGTAATAGTGTACATTAAGGATAGAACTCACTGACTGTGCAGCTAGTGAGCTGGAGCCTAATGACTTGTGAATTTCCAACTTTTGTCACTTCGCCACATATCAGCACCTGGAACCATCGGCGACCATCTGTCCACCGGTAACGAATTATCACTAGAACTCTGGGAAGTTGCTGAAAATTTGTGGATTAGTTTCCAGGTATTGTGTGAAGGGGATTTGATTTAGTTCTAGGTAAATTTCGCCATCAATCAGACTAATCCCTACAACCCATTACTTCACAACTTCATAATTGCGTAGTATTTACAGTGAAATGATTCAGTTTCTCCTGTGATTCACAATCATTATATAAAGGATGAGATGAAAGCAGAGGACAAATTCGGGTGCAGATTCTTACATCAGATGAAAACAGTGAAAATCAGCTATATGATACACTACGAATTAAGACTTTTTGTCACCACGAAAACTTTTTCAAAATGAAGGAATCCTCAACAGAGTTCTTATTTCAAGACCTCCGTCCGGCATATTCTACAATAGTACTTTTATTTTATATCGGTGTTCCGATTTTCGTATATTAAATGAGCATATGCCCTGTGTCTTTTGTGTTTTCCAGTCCATTGTCAATACATTTTATGATCTCTTAAATCAACTATCAAGTATGCAGACGTATGTTGTACTATTTCTTGATGCTATTGATCAACTAGAACCTTCAGATGGAGCATACTTTCTTGGCTGGATAAGGGTTCCTCTACCTAGATATATTAAATTGGTTATCTCTACACTACCGGATATTGGTGGGATATTAGATCACTTTCGATCTAGCTTTCCAACTTCTTCTATTTCAAAAAACTCAAACAATTCAGAGGAGACTGTACCAATTTTTTCATTACAGCCAAATTTTATTGAAGTTGAAGTATTGAATGGTATTATGTGTGAACAACTATTGAAAACTAGATTGGAATCTAGTGGAAGATGCTTACAACCATTTCAGTGGAAATTGGTTCGAAGAGCATTATCACACTGTCACTTAACATTATTTGTTGTCCTTGTGGAACGTGTAGTAAGTTCATTTTTGTTTCTGTCCTAGCATGATTTGTTTATCTTTAACCTGAAGTTTTAAATTTTAGAAACTCCGTCTTTGATTTATAAGCCTTACAAATATTATTGATTTGAATAATAGCAGTATCTCACCTAATGTAGATACGTTTTAATATTTCTATAGGTAAAATCAAAAAAGTAGTATTTATCAGTAGGTGATACATGTGTCGAACTGTGAGTGGTATAGATGTTCCAAGAGAACAGAACACCCAGCAAGCTTTATCATTTAGATATCAGTGCTTACTCGTATGGTATTCATCTCACTATAACACTATTCACAGTATATCATCCCTTAGTAATACATCATTTCTAAATTTATTCTTAACAGTAAAGATAATCGGTGACTACGCTTCTGTAAGGGAATATTTGAGAGCCGATGGAGTTTAAGGAATAAAAATAATTTTGTGTAGCAAATTCTGATTTGGAAACCACTAATAGTGCTGTATTTGCTGTTATGAAAAGTATTTCTGAAAGCAAAACTCAGAAATAATACCTTTATATTACACAACTTCATTTCTCCATTTGTAAAATCCTGTCTCCTTCTTTCATTCATGTGCGTCGATGGTACAGCGGTTATGACGCTCGCCAATCGTCACATTGTCCGGGGTTCGGTCCCCTGCCGACGCACACCTGATATCTATGGTTGGCCTGTAAAATTTGAGCTACCAATATCACATGCTGAAAATTCCATACCTGTACCCAAAATACGATGTGGAATCAAGCTGTAATAAAAAATAATCAAAAAATTGTTATCTTCACTGGATGAGCCAGATTTAATAACAACACCATACGGTTTTGAATTTACACTGTTTATATTCAGGTATGGTAAATAAAGTCATTTCAGAATTTAGCTTCTATACCTGAAACACATCTAAAGCATGATAAAATATAGGCTTTCATATCGATCATTGTGAACTAGTTACTGCCTGGTTCAAGGAAGCAGAAATATGTTTAGTGCATAATCGTAATAAAAACAAAAGTTCTCGGTTTTTTAATTACTCTGTCAATTAAATCTAAGTGACCGTGTAATTCAATGGTTTGTGATTTCTTTTCATTTATGATTCAGGTTAGCTGTAGAGTTAATCAGAATTCATTTTGGTTATGTCTCATGTTTTTGAATAGCAATCCATAATTTATAAATCCTTCTAAAATTCTCCTCGTGTGACTAAACCTTCTCTTGTCTCTACAGAGAATTCCTTACATTCTTTAATATTCCAAGAAAAGTTTGTATAGCGTATTTTATAGTATGAATAATGTATTTGAACAAAACAAGTGAAATAATCAAGACTCTTATGTGAAGTGATGTTGCTTAAATAATATTATGACATTATACATTCTTGGAAAAGTGTAAATTGAAGCCTTTAATGTGTTTATCTAGAGTGTTTCAAAGAGATGTGCTGTATAGCGGTTGTGAGTTTTCTTTATGCCTAAATATTAGAGGGATCATATGAAGAGGAAAAGAAAGGTTATGGGTATTTATGGATCTAGCTGGAAGTGATGGCGCAGAACCCAGTGCAACAGATATGTACCTCTGTAGCCCAATATTCCACTAGGAATGCAACAAATGAAAAATAATTATAAATAATTATAATAATCGATGTAGTAAACAAAGGTTTAGAAGTTTAAATTTCGTCATGCATGATTTTCGCCACTGTTTCTCTGATAATTTTTATTCAGCTTCAAGGTGAGTATCGATTATAGGTTTAAATAAACTTTTAAAATAACTTGTACTATCTGATAAACGATATGCAAAGGTTGAGATTTGTGAGATAAATGTAAGCGTGAATGTTACTCATCATAATATTTCACACAATAATAATAATAACACAAGCATTTTTAATAATTTTTAATTAACTATTACAGGTCAGGGAATGGAGGTCATGGCATCAACCTGATTTTGTTTTAAAGAGGGCAAATGATCAATCTGAACCAGGAGCAGTGTGTTCAGAGGAAGAAGTTCAATTAGCACTTAAACAATGGCCAAATTTAGAATTGGCTTTAACAGTTAGAGGAGCTATTGTACAATTTTTTGAATCATTGGAACATACACATGGAAAACTTTTGGTAAGATGACTTCAGTCAAATCGACTGTTGTTTCTATTTTCCTCACTGCACCATTTAGACCAACGAAACTTATTCAATATGTAACTTAAATGTTTATTCGTTTTATAAGTTACTAACATGTCATCTCCACAACTATGAATTTAGATGAAACCTGCCTTTCTATATTGATTGACCACTGATGCTATGATGCTTGGTATTAGAAAGAACTCAGTGTTTTAGTTTTATCAGTTCCGGCTTGTTTACGGAGGAACTGTATGTAGTTTCTGTATTCCTATGTAATATACATCCTGCCCTATATAACTGCTTCCACGAGTATAGGTTTCCAGACCGTAGGTGTTACGAACTTCCTAGAATAATTTGAGCGCCAAGTCAGATTTATTCGAATTTTTATTAATCATCAAATTATTTTGGTATTTTAATGATTAATAAAAATCCAAATAAATCTGATGAAGAAGCTGTGGCTCACTCAGCGAAACGTTCGGAAAAATCTTGTTTTGATTTTCTTAACACACTGGGATTAATTTAAATAATTTATAAAACTTCCACGATTACTCATCAACATAACCTAATTTTTTCTGTAAATGTTTACTTTACTTACATCGGTTCCTTTTAATTTGACAAATTTCACGATCCGAGTGAGAATGTCTACGAAATAGGAATTATACAAATAATTTTCCTTCTCTCATCTCTCTAATGTAAGGGGTTTCCTAATCACTGGCTTGTTCCAAACATCACTTATCATTACTGTGAAAGTTATCATTACATGATAACCACTTCACTTTTCTCAAATGATTCACGTCCACACAGTAGATGCCATATCATCATGTGTAATATAACCGTTCGAAAATTGAACATACAAATCTTGAGTTCATAAAAACAGTCCAAGCAGAGAATTTCGTTTCCCTTCTTTGAGGTTGGGAAATTCAGTGATTTATTGAGACTAATTCATATTACAAAGATAATTAATTCAAATCAGTTGAATTCTGGCTAGCTTACCATGCAAACAGGTAAAAGATAATGTTAACCAAAGTAAACAGGCTATCATAATGTGTTATAAACAGGACCATTATAAAGTAATATTTTTTTCTAAGTTGAAACTACAGTTGTATTGTTTGTATGTCCCATCTACAACAATGGTTGGGGTTGCGCTAAATCACTAATTGGTAAAAGTTAAAATTCATGAGCCATTGAATCGGGTCCCAATGGCTGAATAGTATACGAGCTTGCCTTGTAACCAGAAGGTCCTGGGTTCGAACCCCATTGGGTGCGTAATGCCGCTGAGTCCCAAACTAGGATAAAACAGCAGCTGTCTAGTATTTCCTGGTTTTCAATCAATCCATGATCAACTCGTAAAACCTACAGTTCTGTCATTCAATATTAACCAATGATCACACTAGCAAACTAACCTGAATTCTTGAATTGTACGGTCACAAACGAACCTTAATTGCGGTTATCAAAGGAGATTCCTTACAAATAATATATATGAATTTGAGTAAACACCTATTTCATAGTTTGTAGATTAATTAGAACATCACCTATTTTTGGCAAAACAACATCAATGCTCACCAGAAATTCGACAATTAATAGTATTAACTGTATATTTTTCTCCCTCATTGTTATACAGACATCGCATGCTATCTCATACATTACTGCTTCACGTCGTGGTATGAGTGAAGTAGAAATTGTGGACTTACTATCACTTGATGATGAAGTACTTCAAGATGTTTTTCAACATCACTTACCACCACAAGTTCGAGCTCCACCATCTGTATGGACTAGACTTCGAAGTGCATTAGGATCGAATCTAGCTGAACGTGAAGCTGATGGGATAACAGTTTTATTTTGGTAGGTATTCTGATGAATGATTTTCATGCTAATTTCTTCATAAATAATACAAGTTATAAAAATCAAAATGTTGGATGAAACAGTTCATCAGAACTAAATTAAGTGACTTAAAACGTATAACAACATTGATAATTACTGAAGTTTTGTGATCAAGTTTGAAGATATTGACTCATGATTATGAAACTGTGTACACAGTACAGTTTAGAAAACTCGAAAAAGTTTTCCTCCTTTTCATTATATTATCTATTGAGTTTATACTCAAGGATTTTGAGGTTGTGTAGTTCTGACTGGACTGCAAAGTACAATAGTTGTCTACTAATAAAAAGGTGTAAAAATATGTTGAAAAAGCCCCCCTTGAATATAGATACAATCTTTGTCTACTATCAGGAAATACCCTAATTGCGGATATGTTTGGCTTACTTCATTAGAGAGAAAAGGAGCGGATCAGTAAAAATATCATATCCGTGATCTTGTAACAATAGAAAGCAAGATACGGAAGCCAAGGTATATCTTTTATTAGTCAAACCTCTGTTTATTTATCTACAGTTTATATTCGTTGATCGATCACTGAGTGTGTGATTTCAGTTTATATCAAACGACATGGAATAGAATATTCAAATATACATAGTATTCTGTTGCTAACACCGAACTGAACTGTGGGAATATGTCAGAATAATATTCCGTTGGCACACATTTTCTGTATCACACCACCACAATTTTACTGTCAATAACTGTACCACTGCTATTTATGTATGTGAGTTACCACAGTTACAGTCGTTACTTAATTCAGCGGAGTAACCAAGGTGAGACTCGAAGAAAATAATAATTTCCAACCTGACATGAAAATTGGCATGTATCATGAGAGATAAATATTAATCACAAGACGCACAGAGACCAGAATCATGCGGAATTGAAAACATAATCGCGTAACATTTCAGGCATACCAGCGCCATAAGTGGGTGACGGTGGCACAATGGTAGGATGCTCGCCAACCACGTAGGTGATCCGTGGTCAGATCCCCGGCCGACACACTCCTTTACCTCGGTAAGCCAGCAACAAGATTGGTAAAGAGGGATGATTGGGCGTGAGGTAAGCAACTTCACGCCGTAAAAGTAAACACCACTTCTACTGAAACTTCAAAGCTCCAGCTTGAATCCCTGTGTTCCACAGGGAACATAAGGGAATAAAAAAAGCACCATAAGTTATTAAGCTGGTCATCGTAGGTAAGAGTGAAATTCGTACACCATTTATTCACAGATATTCCATTTATACTTCTCAGTAACTTTTGAATTCAGTAGATTTCATACTGATCAGAAGTTCTGATAGTACCTTTCTTGTATGAATATGTTTTTCATATTTCTTTTCTATAATACATGATATTTATTTCAAACCTGTAATTATTATTATTGTTCTCTAAGTTCTCCAGTTGAACATAAGGCTTCAACAACGCATCTCCACTTTCTTCAGTTTGATGTGGTCTTTTTCAGCTGACCCCACAATTGCCCATAATCTCGCATCTTCGCCCCACACGATCTTCTCCATATCACCCTAGGAAGACCCACTTTTCGTTTGCCATTCGGGTTCCACTCGAGGAGAAGGCGAGTGATATCATTCGACGGTCTCTTCAGCGTATACCCAATCCATCTCCACTTTACCCCACATATTTGTTGAACGATAGGTTCTTGGCTAATTGTTCTCACAGTTTCTTTTTGTTAATTCTTTCTGCGTCAGTGGCAAAGTGGTTAAGACGCTCGCCGACCATGCACATGGTTCTAGGTTCAATCGTCGGCTGACGCGCACCTGATATCTGTGGTCGGCCTGCTAAATTTTATAGTTGTACCGGAAATACTGTTTGGAATCAAGCTATAATAAAAAAACTTTTGATCTTCAGTGTGAAGTGAAGGCAATTGTTGTACAAGTCTGCATTAGCCTGTTGGAGTTGGTTTTTGTGATAAGCAGTGCAAGTTTCTGACCCATATTAGAAGAACTGACTGACTTGACACCGGCGCTGAAAATCCGAATTTAATTTCTTTATGCTGGTTTAGTGCAAAAGACTTTCAAACCACTTTCAGAGTGATGAAGTTTTGTTTCGCCTTTCCGATTCCGGCTGGTCTTGACATCTTCATCCGTTCCAAATTCCTGTGGTTGAAACGATGTTGTTCAGATGAGTGAAGTAACCTCTTTCAAATTTCTCCTGTCTGTTGTCACTGTTCGTTGGTTACTTCATCACTTCTATCTTCTCTATGTTCACCTGGATTCCTGTCTTCTCTGCTTTTTCAGTCTGTAAAGACACTATTTATTCATATTTGTAATTTCCTGTTGATATATTTAACAGCACTGACTAACTAAATTTCGGTATATGGGCTCCTTTGTTTTGTTCCATTTGGTACTAATCATCTGGATAAACTTGCTCCTCAATAAGTGTTGTTATTCCCACTGAGACTCGAACCTTTCATCCATCGTTTCAGACAAAACATGTTATACAACGGTTATTAGTTGCTATTGGTTCAAGTCCAACAGCCTAATGGACTACACGTTTTGCGTATTTTTTAGGAGTTAAGTATTCTAAAACCAAATAACAAGTGATACCTGTTTCACAAAAGGTAGCTGTCGTAGTCCTATTGGTCTAGTGAATAGTGTATTAGCGTCCGAAAGGACGAATCCATAGGTGGAGTCTCAGAATGAGCACCATCCCCCACTGTGAATACTGGTGCCTCCAGATGATGAATCCCAAACAGGGCAAAATGAGTATCCTGGATTCCAATGTTAGTTACGATTTACCTGAAATAAAGTCACTGCATATTTGCTTTCTAGTTAATTTATTTTACATATTCCAAATATTTCATCGATTACTTATAAAGCTTTATGAATTAAGTGTAAATAATACTGAACCTTATTTATTATTTTTTTTAAATAGGTATCACCGTCAGTTTATTGAAGCTGCCCAAGACTATTATCTATCTGATATCAATTACAGGCGAAAAATTCATTCAAATATAGCAGATTATTTTCTAGGCAAATGGGCTGGTGTGAAAAAAACATTTTATTATCCTAAATATCTTGCAGCGAAATTGGTGAGTACCTCATATCTAACCGATCAATCAGTATATTTCATTATTAATCCCTTATGCAAGTAAGATAGTTCATTTAGCTATGTGTATATACGGATTCGTTAAGTGAAATCCATACTGACCCTCACATACGACAACGAATAAACATATTGCGCTCCAACTTTTCAAATTAGACCACGAAGTAATGTCAGTTAGAGGAACATTGAACACTGTGTACTCTACAGCTGTTTCATTCTAGTTTGGCACTCTTCAGTTATACGCACCCAGAACTCCACTGGAGGTTGAACCTAAAACTGTCATGTTGGTAAGGGAGCCCCTTTACCATTCAGTCATTAAAACATAACGCAATCGCTCATGAATACTAACTTGTGCTAATTCACAGTATATCTGACTTTATGCAGTTACTTCTATTGATAAACTTAAACAAAACAAGAACAAATTCACCAGGATAAAACACTTACTGGACTTTCTAGAATTTCTCCAGTACATGAAAATACACTAATACAATAAATTATCTGTTGTTAACAGTCGTAGGTTTTTTTAAGAGCCCAACAATAGAATTCAGTCTGCACCAATCAGAGGACTAGACGCATCACACTAGTTACTAGTGTCAAGTCAAAATAGCCCAACAATCAGTTTGTCATGAACAGGTTAATTCAAATAATAAGTCAATACATTTATGAAATGAAAAACGTGATTTGAAGGTATGCATTCAGTTAAACAGTTGTATTTAACACATTCAGAAACCTTTGTGATCCAGAATACAAGCTTAGAAGAGATTTTATCAGTTGACAGTACAAAAATCTTTTGGAATTTTGGTAGAAAGTGTCATCGACTGACTCCAATAAACACCGAAAATGTTACAGGTAGTATTAGTATTCGAAGTTCTCTTAGCTTCATTGTCAATAGAATAAAGAAGATTTTTTAAATATATTCTTTTATGTAACAGATGAAACACCGTTCATTAGATTGACTTGAAACTGAGATTTGATTACAGATTGTGCTTTGCAACTCAGTAGTTAAGACACCTGATCAATAAGGTGTCTGGTTTAAATTTATCGTAACACGGATCTATATTAGTTCCAGTTGCCATCTGGCCTCACTTTCGGTAAGTCTACAAAAAAGTCTTTATCGTACTGCATGGTGCTTGGTACTATTTAGGCACGTAAGCCAAAGATTCCTCAACTAGTTGCCCTTTAGACCACCGACGACTTTTTAAGTAATAGTCAAATGAAATTTTTTAACAGAATCCTAAAGCAGTCGTGTTTATTGTCAGAAAGTAAATATAAATCACTAATATCGGTTGCAATGTATCCCTTTGCTCAGCAAAAGCACTTTGAAGATACCCATTTAGCGTAAATCCAATCACACCAAAGAAACTATGAAGTCCATGAAGTGTCTTGATAAAAAAAAGTTAGAGTTCACTACAAAAACACTTGAGTATTGTAAACTTTTTTGTGAATAAAGCTTTAACATCTTTTGTTTTACAGAAGTTACCACCATCTAGTAATGAGGACAGAATGGTACCACCACAACCATATGTATTTGAAGAGTCAAAAATTGGTGGTAAAAAGAAATTACGTTTAAATCTAAGAAAATTAAGTGAATTACCATGGCATTTATATCATTCAGGTCGGATGGATGAATTCTACTCAGAGATAATGTTCAATTATGAGTTTTTATACAATAAACTTCGTGGTACTTCTAGGTGAGGTAACATGTTCTGCTTGCTTGTATGTATAAATAGATCCATATGTTTATTACATCAGCAACACTTGAATGTCTAATCAGTAATATGGACTTATTCTAGATTTGATATTTAGTAGTATATATTTTTCTTTCCATGTCAAATGACTTTATTTATGATAACTTTTTAAATTAATTTCTTGTTTACAACTACCATGACAATAATTCATCGCGTAGTAGTATTCCAGTGGAAATTGTTTGATATTCTCAGAGCTTTGCTATTTTAAGTTGTCTTAGTCTCATAATAATTGTTATTGGTGTCTAAGATAATTGTGTGGCTTATATAAAAACCCCTAGTAAAATTATTAACAGATTGTTTATCCTTAAATTACTGCAGCTTATTATTTGCGTATCGAGATAGTTCAGAGTTCCACTACTTTCACTCGCTTGATCCAAAAGAACGCACAAAAAATGCACAACTGTTACGTACTTTTAAATGCATTAAGTATGGTTAACTTGATCTTGTTCGATTTTCTAATCCAAGTCTACTCAGTGCAACTTGTAAGGACTATATGTCATTTAATTATCTCAAAAGCTCTTCTACTTTCGAATCTGTGTTTCTGTGAAATTATAGGCTAATGTCATCGGTTATTAACTTTAAGCACACCTGACTTGTTTTTTAGCTCTATTCTGTACTTATTTAATTGAATTGGTGGATGGTGACTAGCAGTGGAATCCAGGGTGCGCATTTCGTCCTATTTGGGACTCGTCATCTGGATGTACCTACATTCCCCTGTGAGTGATGGTGTTCCCACTGATGCTCGAATTCCAATTACATGCCTAGACATCGTCGAAGCATATAAGTACAAAACTTTGGCACTGTGGAAGAGTATAACTCCATTATAGACAAGATTTTATTTAAGTCACACAGTGTTGCACAGTAATATTAACTGATGACATTTCGAGCACAGATTATTTCTCTTGATTTGATTATGAGCAATAATTTGTGCTCGAAACGTCATCAGTTAATATTGCTGTGTAACACTGTGTGACTTAAGTAAAATCTTATCTATAATGGAGTTGTCGTCGAAGCATCTGCACTTTGGTCCAATCAATCGACGGGAACAACTAAAATTCGGTTAAACAATTAATATGACCCGTTGCACAAGAGGTGGCTCTCATAGTCCAAGTGGTCTAGTGGATAACGCTTTGGCGTTTGAAACTATGGGTACTGGGTTCGAGCTTCGGTGGGAACATTAGCATTCACTGAAGAATGCAGGTACATCCAGATGACGAGTCCCAAATAGGACGAAATGCGCATCCTGGATTTCACTGCTAATCAGCATCCACCAATTAAATTCTATTCTATGCTCCTGATTTTTCCATTCCTTCGCGTCACAATAGGAACATTAGGCTTAAACTTTGAATGTGCAGTAGTCGCGGTATTAATTTTACGGGGAGGGGCTGCTAGCCTCACAATCAACCTTTCGTCTTTTCTAGGCTTACTAGGGCTACGCGGGGTCAAGGTGCTCGTCGGTCGGGAACCAAACCATGACCACTACTTCTGATTAGCAGTAGCAGTCGTCGATCATTGAATGTTGATCCAACACATTGATTTGAAGACCTTAGAGCTGTGGATTACAGGTGGAGGGAAATCCATTGCCAGTATCTGGAAATAATTAGGAATATTCTCCAAGGTCTCCTTAACTTTACAGGTGTTCAAAATGGTTTAGGCGCCAATTCAGACTGCATCACTGTAATCTTATAACTTCTTAACTTCTACATGGTTTGTTTTACCTGTACCAGTTTCTAATGATAATGAAATAATACAATCTTTCATTTATATAATTCCATAGTTACGTTGAAATACTGTGTTTCTATGTCAAAACTGAGGTTTGTACTGTTCAAGATAACTTACATCGAAATCTATGTGTATATTTTACAAGAAATTCTCATAAAGATGAAATGACTAACTATAATTCACTAACAACTATAAGCATACTTAAGAATATTTTGCATAGAATGATTATGCTTACAAACTTTTATTCGGAGTATTTATTAGAACTTGTTTTGACTTATACTAATTTTTTTCAGTTTTATTTTATTCCCTCAGATCACAATTGCTTGTGGACTTACATCTCCCGATACAAGCATATCGTATATATCAATCTGAACAAATTCTTTCTTTGGAAAGTCATTTACACCCTCTATCTACACAGGATCTTAGAACAAAAATAGGTGGATTAAATTCAGCTCTATTTATCAATTATTCATCAACGTCTTCAACCACTAACAATGCCAATATTGATAAAAGTGATAATTCAGTTCCTATAATTACACAAGATCATTTACAACCTCCACCACCAGAAGCTTTTAAAGTATACAACTGTATACGGATTGCTGCTCTCAGCTTAGATTATCAACCATCTAGTATGCCGATAGATATTTTAGGACGATTAACGAAAATCTATGCACCTCAACCAAATTTATTTCGTGCACGTCAACGTTTATCAACATATATACCGTCAGGATCACGTCGTAGTGTATACATGTTGAATTCAAAGCGTGAAATATTCCATAAACGTGGCATAACAGATAAAGATAAAGACACTAACAGATACAAGGATCTACTAGAAAAACTTCTTATTCAGTCAAGAAATCTTGGTCGTAAACAGTGTGCTATATTACCACGTACAACTTGTTTTGATTCTGGGAGTGGTTTACTGCATACAACATTTGATATTGGCTTAGGTATTGGACGTTTAATGTCAAATAATTTAATTCTATCCGTAGCGCTAAATGGTAAATCAGTTAGTTGGTATGATTTAGACGGTAATTTAGTGAAAACAATAAGTTTACCTGAAGTGAATTTATTCTCAATGAAATTTTTGCTAGCTTCGCATATTGCACCAGATCCAATATCTATATGTGCTCTACCAATCATTAAATCCCCAGAGAATTTCAGCAATAACAATAACATTCACTCTTCAGAAGATCCAAAAACTAAAGAAAATCGGTTACTGTCAATTGCGAAAATCGATTATTTCTCTGGTCGTGTATCAACTATATCTACATTAGATGACCAATGGTCTGATATATTCAGTATTTCTTCATTGCTTGTGTTAACTGATGATTGGATTGGATCACTTATAGATACACAATTATACTTGGGTTATTTACCCAAAAAACAAATGATCATTAATGATTGTCGTCTTGACAGTCAATCATTTTATCATTCAAATTTAAAAAATATCATCAGTTTCACTTTATCTAATATAGGTGTATTCCTTATCAGTACTGATGAACACAGTGTTGTTGGCTTTCCAATTAATGATAATTCAACAGTTTATAGTACAGTGAAACTACAATCGAATTTCATTATCTCATTCTGTCATACAACTTCTTCTGGGTGTGAATTACACTTTTATGAAATAATTCCAATTGAAACGGATAATTTAAAAGAGGATAACACATATTTCCTGAATAGCATAACGGATGGTAGAGTTGACTTTCAAGGTTTGAAATTATATCAGGGGTGTTTAAAAAAGAAAATACCTTTAGATGTATCACAATCCAATAAACTTATGGGTTGTTCAACACATTTAAGTTATTGTGATCATCTAGTAGCATATTTGTTCAATATTCGTCGTAAAACTGCTCAAGATTTTGGTGTAATATGGGATCAGAGATATGAGACATGTGTTAACTTACAATTACCATTTAACGTTGAACAGGATAATTTAAGCAAAGATGAAGTGAACTTAACTAAAGAAATGCTTAAGTAAGTACTATAAGTAAACCATTTTCAGCGTTTTTTTATTGCTCAAGAAATTATTTAAATTTATTTGTTAACATTCTACTTATTACTACAGTAAATAATGTTTGAAAATTGCTTTACACAAACCTCGAGTGGATGCAATTAGTTTTCTTCAACTGAATTCCAACATCTTCCCTTCTTTTTCTTAAACACTTCATGTGGTTATTTTACCACTAAAATCAATAGTTGGAGATGATTTATCTCTTAATATAAATGATATCGTACAAAAAGAGAAATATGACAGAGATTTAAAAGGCCATCTGAAAAAAATTGATATAAAGTACTTAAGTCCCTTGAAAATGACTTTTTATCGTTTCCTTCTAGCTAAGCGAACTAGTTGAATGTATTTTTTTAAATACGTGTAAAATAATTCCTGGCGCTGGTTCTCACGCACTCCTTATTTCTGTACTGTTCCATAACAAATGTTGGTTTCCCTATGGTTACCAATCTAGGTATCAAGTGTTAAGTGTGTTGGTTGAAATCGATCAGTTGCCTGACTAGTACAGACAGTTGGTTTACTGACACATCTTAGTAGCGTGTACAATGCTTTAATTTGGATGAAAAACGGTAACAATCCTTCTGGAGAAAGCGGTGAAGTAGTACTGCTGAAGGATACGGACGTAGCAGAGACAAGGTATTTCCGTTGGACGACAAGCGAGTAGGCTAAGCCACTCTCCCGTTTCAGACGAAGAGGTGCTAGATATTTTCGGCCCTAAAAGTTGTAAGTCCAGACTTACCGTTCAACGGTTCTTAGTCAATAATGAGCTTTTGAGGACAAATGAAACTGCAAAAGCTTCACCTCTAAGCATGTGAACCCTGACACACTGCAATAATGATTTTCCTATTCCAAACACTAGAGGAAAAAATCAACTTCCGTGGTACAGACAAGTGGAAAGTAGCAACCAGCTGCATACTTTCAGTAACTCACAACGTTCTTCCGCTAATCAATCGTGGTTTCCTTGCTATTTTCATTCACAGGAAATTTTTCACCTCCCTTTAATCCTGTGAGTATTACTAATGACTTGAGTTAAAGGAGTGTTATTTCATCTTTTAAAATCACGTTACCAACTGGATACTGGGGTCTTAGTGTCAGGATCCTACAACAAATCTTATAATGGATTTAGTAAGCTGAAACTCAGTAAGTCAACGATGAACACAGGTAACTCATCTTGCTCTAAGTTTTCCATGGAGAAAGCTGGTGGAAGACTTCCTCACCTCCTGTAACCACTGCGTGGTCTCTGATCATGCATCAGTCTATGCACATCTATACCTGTAACTTAACGGACTTAGAAGACAAGTAACTGTGAAGCCCATACGTGTCCAGATTTTCGATGAGACCAGGAAATAGATTAACGTATATCTGAGATTGAGAAGAGCGCTTATCCTGAGGAGGTCTGGCATCATATTCAGTCATTTGTAAGAACAATTGTAAAGGCTGTTCATAAATTGCAACCAGATACTATTAAGTGCCAAAAGGCTTTTGCAGCGTCGTGCGAAATGATAGGTGAAAAATGATTGACACCGGAAGTTGTGACCATAATTAAGAAAACACCTGTCAGACGTAGGCTAACTATAATTCGCAAAGGTCGCGAATAGCAGTGGATGACAAAGAGAAAGACATGGAAAAGGCATTTACAGGAGACAATACCAGAAAACTTTTCTGACTGATTAGGAGAACTGACCGTAAATAATCCGTAACAAGTTAGGTGATTTCCGAAAGGGACAGCACTGAGTACTCTGCAGAATAGATGACCTGAGTGTTGACAGGATATTTCGAAAAGTGAATCATCTGACGTAAAGCTGCATACCATCTAACCCCTACTTGAATGGGGTGTAGACATGTCCTCGAAAAATTGCAGTTTTATGAACAGCATCTTCATGGGAGTGATTTAAACGGTAACTTTCTTTAGTGGTTTATCCACATTTTTTCATTCTTCTGATTAGTTTATGGATAATCTGCAAAAGGTGCAGTTTAGATGTATTGATTATTCTTACAAACCTAAATAAACCCACCTGATAATTCAATATAAGTAAGCTGTACCTGAGGATAAAGCTTCTCATAGACAGGATTTGTAACGCTTGATGAGAAAGATTACTAATTAGTGTTTTTTCTAACTTCGATATGTTATCGGAGTTCAAACTACCTTAAAAATGAAGTTTCTTATTAAGGAAACTAGAAACGACAAGTCATCAGTTGTCTTTTGTGTTCCGTAGTTCAGCTGGTAGACCATAAGGTTCGTAATTCAAAGACTGCTGGCTCGAATCCTGCCGTGTCCTAGATTTTTCAGTTTACCGTTAATCATCGCGCATTATGTCAATGGTGGTAGTCTCTCAGTCTATGAATATCCCAAATCATCTCTCAATCAGTTACGTTCGCTAATACTTTTTCAAGCTTTTTTTCCATTTTCTATCTTATCACATGTTTTGAACAAAGTGGTCCTCAATACTATTTCGTCTCCACTGTTAGATTTTCAGTGTCATGTGACTTATTTTCAATTAGGTTTAAAAGAAACGACTGTTTTCTGCTTCTCTTCCTCAAGCACATGTTCACTTCATGTCTTATATGTGGCTGGACATACCTACCTTTTATACATTCCTTTCATTCTATTGGTTATTAAATTGAACATACGAATTCCAGTAGAAAGGTCATCTGTTTTATGTGATTATTTCAATGAACTTAACAATGTTTATTGGCCTTGCAAAAAAAAAAAAACTAACTAAACAGACATATGGAAGAAGCTTCTCAGGTTCACGCAAGTGACCTTTGTCAAAACACATGGAATTTACTTTTAACCTCATGACACACACAGTACTTTTTTCATTGTCAATTCACCTCTATTTTGTACATATCGTTGTGATGGTAAGAGTGGATGACATATAAGACAAGTGACCCAGTCTAAGGTCAGATATTTTTAACTTTGTCTAAGTGTGTACAGAAAATTTATTTTTGTTTTTTGAAGCAGACAGTTACGCTTGTTTCATGTCGAAAATTAGTAATGAAATGTTCACTATAGGTTTGAATATCTTCTTTTTATGTCATTTGTATCATGGTAGGTAACAGTAGAATCCAGAATGTGCATTTCGTCCTATTCGAGTCTCACCAGTTAGATGTAGCCACTTTCTCAGTAAGGGATAGTATTCACAAGAGAAATTGGCTACAAGAGCTGCTTCTGGTGCAAAGTAACAACAGAGACCAAGTATTTTGATCCAATAAAAATCAATCGAAAGGGAATTCAAAATGGCTTCCTTTGAATTCAGCTTACTGCATCACTTTAATGCGTTTAAATAAGGCGATTCAGTATTTAAATGTTTTCAGGCGAATTAATTCCTTCTCCATCCAGTGGTATCGAGGCTTATTTAACAAATCTGTGTACATCCCACTAATTAGTGTGTGATCATTCCAGTTAGCATTACGAAGGCCATACTTAACTGTGATACATTTATTTTGCCTATCATACTTGTATCTACTTAAAAAACACTTTTTGACGTAGCATTATGAATAGAATACCTAAATCCTTTCAACCCTACTCTATGTTGCCAATAGAATTTGAACTTCATTTGTGGGAACATAAGGAAATAGCATCGTTAAAAAGACCTAGTTCACTGGAGAGCGGAACATTACACGACGTGTTACGTAATCAAAACATCGTCAGTCAAAATAGATTTTAAAATATTACCGAAACCTGCCGTAAATTCCTTTTAATTGGATCCACCGGGTCTTTAAGCGTACAGAGCTTGTCTCTGAGTGAGTTTGTAGGTTTGAATGCCACCCTAATTCCTGCTCTATTAAGAATCCTACGTAGGGTCTCAGATGTCCCTTCCTTATACGGTATAACAGTGGATGACTTATATTCTTTCTTATTTGTGTTATCATTACTAGTTTGACCATTATTTTTATTTTGTTTTTGACCTTTACTGATCTTCCTAATGAATTTTATAGGATAGTTAATCAACACCAACGCTTCTTCTATCTGTTTTATTTCGTCATTTAGGTCTTTTCTTGTGCTACTTAGTGCTACTGCTCGGTTTGTTAGACACTTCACTACGCCTGCCTTAACAGTTAACGGATGAGACGAATTAAAGTCTAAATATCTATTAGCAGTTAAAAAAGAACTAACTGCGGATCCTAAACTCAATCATAGGACAAAGCTGCCCATTGAACAAATTATGTTAGGGATTCAGTTATGTCTCACATCTACCATCTTTAAGTTCCAAATCAAAATATATAGACAAACAGTAGGTGTAGCAATGGGATCACCAATATCCCCTATTCTAGCAGACATATTTATGGACAGCTGGGAAAGTAGTGCTCTTAATACGTTTAACCCTACTCCAAAAATATGGTGGAGATATGTGGATGACACTTTCACGGTGTTAAAAACAGAACATATCTCTAGCTTCCCGACACATATAAACTCACAAGTAGAGGGAATAAAATTCACATTTGAATCAGAAATGAAGTAGGAGAATTAGCTATGTTAGATTGTGAAATAAAACGAATAGAAGAAGGAAAACTACACACTAGTGTTTATAGAAAACCAACTAATTCTAATAGATATTTAGACTTTAATTCGTCTCATCCGTTAACTGTTAAGGCAGGCGTAGTGAAGTGTCTAACAAACCGAGCAGTAGCACTAAGTAGCACAAGAAAAGACCTAAATGACGAAATAAAACAGATAGAAGAAGCGTTGGTGTTGATTAACTATCCTATAAAATTCATTAGGAAGATCAGTAAAGGTCAAAAGCAAAATAAAAATAATGGTCAAACTATTAACGATAACACAAATAAGAAAGAATATAAGTCATCCACTGTTATATCGTATAAGGAAGGGGCATCTGAGGCCCTACGTAGGATTCTTAATAAAGCACAGAAAGCTGCCGTAAATTCGTCTTCCTCTTCCCATAGTGTTAAGGATCTCATAGTCACTCTAAGTTAGTTACTTCGCTGGAAGGCTGTGTTCAAACACCCTTAAGCTTAATCATTACATAAACTTAATTTAATGACCAGTGACTGAAATACCTTAGCTTTGTTTAATCTCTTAGAAGATCTTTTAAAAACGCGCTTCTTCTGTTATTGCCCCCATTGCTTCTAGTCCGATCCCTATTTCATCTACACTAAATAATTTCCCATCTTCATTTCTCTTCGCGTAATAATTCATCAGTACTTTCAGTTACAATGATCATACAATTTCAAATTTGATCACGGATTGATATCAGTGGTTGAATGGTCAATGAATTTGCCTGACAACATGAGCGTCTCATGTGTGATCGCCAGTGGGGCATGGTTGCTTCTGAGTGCTGCTTCATAGTCCCCAACTATCCAGAACTCTTTGGTTTTCAATGGTTCTCCAAATGATATCACTCCGTGATTAAATTTGAAACCAATCAAATGTCTGAAAACTAACACCTGAAAATCATATGATTGTATAAAATCATCGTCTATATTTATCATTCAGCAGTTGTTATATAAATTACTACTAAAAATAAATCTAATACTTTCTCATTTACAGTTATACCTATACTTATGGTAAAGGGGTCACAGCGATATTCAGCAATGAAAATGACCTTCTATTCACCAATGGAAAAGAATGTTTCGTCTTAGTATGGAGTACAATGACTGGACATATTTTGAAGATTATAGCACAAGGTTGCGCAGAAGGCATTCTATGTGGTTTGTCAGTACCGAATATCGACGCCGAAGTAAATATGTCGACAACAACAACAACATCATCAATAAAGAGTGTTACAAATTCACCAATGAGTGGTTCTGTTCTTGTTATTTGTCATTTTCCGGATACATCAGCACCACAATACAGTGAATCACCTGATCAAGCAATGTTTATAATGTGCAAAATATTCAACGTTAAATCTTTACGTAAACCTGACAAACATTTAGCTGTGTTAGGTAGTCAGCTATTCGATACTAGTGTTATAGGCGATGATACTGATACAAATTTGAATTTAGAAGAGATTGCAACTGGCGGTCCATTAGTCTTTCGTCCAGCCAATATGTCTATTGAGTATGTATATGAAGATGCACTGCCAACGCTGGTTTTTGTAAATCATAGAAAAGAAGAACGCGATGCTGTTGATAATTTAACATTATATGATTTAGATGAAGATTCTAGTAATCCAATTTATTCTTGGTCTGATAATGAAGTCAATGCAAAATCAATAGAGGCATTTTTCACCACACAACAACTTGTAGACTGGGCTACGAATACAATTTGCAAAAATAATAACAATAATAATAATGATAGTTTCAGTGACAACTGTGCTGGTAACATGGAGAGAATTTCTGTGTACTTGCATACAACAGCTGCGAAAATTAAAATTTTAACAATGTTTAATGATAGTCAATTACTGGATACTTATACATACTTAGATCCAAATAATATTGAAGATTATCTACCAAATCTTTATGTGCCTACATCAACTGGTCAAATTGGCAGTTTTGGTTTACTTCAACCAAAGTATGGTATGCTGACATTGATAAAACCGTCATCATTCAATGATAAAGATGATCCGTATTTATTAATTAAAGTGTTAATCTCCGTATCAAACGACAATAATAAGCATGAATTTAAAAGTATATGGGGTGAAAAACCTCGATTGATAAATTTATCTGAAGCATATCAGTCAGTTAAATTAGCTAGTACCTTGTTATTAGATAAACGTGATCTACAGCCAATATCTTTAAATTTATTAACATATCGACCTAGTTATCCAAATCATATTATTATAGGTTTAAATGAATCTCATAAAACATTATATCCTGTTACTAGATGTGATGGAAGAAGAGTTGTCTGGTTAGGTGTTATTCTAATCGTTGATTTAGGCTATCCATATGAAGATGGAAAGTGTTCAGTTAATAACATGGATAAATATCCACAAATTCTATACACAACACTACTTGACTATGGTCCACAATTAACACTATTTTCAGATGGTGTTACAGCAATTAATTACCGACTGGTAGTCTACAATATTCTTACTGGAAATCGAAAATATGAAATAGAAAATAGTGAAGTTGATAAATCCCTACAAAGAATGAATTCCGATCATTTTAGGTTGTTACATGAAACTGTAAATGATAATGATGAAAGAACAGGAGATGACGTATGGAATACTGACTTTGATAATGGAAAACTGACAACAGTTAATAAAATAGAAAAATTCGTTGTAAATAAATTATTACCAAATGAAGAAAATTATTTTATTCAATCAGTTGTACTAGCATCTAATGGTAAACTACTCATAGGCAAAAGACATCAACCTGAACAGAAAATCCAACTGGATTTAGCTGATGACTCATTTTCTGATAGTTCTGATTCAAATGATTCAGACGGTGATTATGGTGCATCACCAGCAAGATGTTTGGTCGCTTTTGAATTATCAACAACACAAACCATGCCAACACAGTTATCTTCATCTATAAATATGAATGATACCCAGCTGAACCTTATAACAGAATACATGTTTGAAAATGAACCTTACATGTTATGGTTATCTAAAGACAAGAGAACACTGATTGCTGTTACGCCTAACGAATATTTACGAGGATTCGATATAGGATTAGATCAAAGTGAAGATTGTCCGGGATTAATGGAATATGTGAATACACAAGATCAACTGAATGGTAAATAGAAATTTAATCAAAGTTAACTGTTTCACATGTGTTTAAAGTGATTATTACTGATATTAATATCACCTGGGAGAGTTAGGACTGAGATTCAGTGGGGACTTAATATCATAGGCTTTTAACTTAAATGTCTTGGATTACAAACTCAAAGCTCCATTTCTCAGTAACTGTCACAAGCTGATATGTACAAGTGACAGTGTAATGAAATCGTGCCTACTTGGTATTCGTTTCGGACAGTTTTGTTGTACTAAACGTTTAGGTTACATTTAACAGAGAGCCACATTTGGTATTACTTCGCAAGAGAGTACATACGTTCCTTTTTACATGAGTAATTATAAGTGTTTTTTCTTCATGAAACTAGATTACTTCTGTTTTGCCTGATCGGTTCGTTGGATAATAAGGTGGTGAATATAAATTATGCAATTAGTCATAATAGTAGAAGTGATAATAATAATAATAGTAATAATAATAATGGTCTTGTCAGTAATAAGGATGAAAAAGTGAGGCAATCTGTGATAACACGAATGATGACAAACAGCATGATTAAACAAACAAACAAATGTTCAGGTGGAAGTAGTCGATAAAGGCTAGTAGTATCAACAGACTTCAATCTTCGCCTATCATGAACTACATGACCTTTTAAATATGATTTGTCATTAGTATGTACTTTTGTCATGAACTTTATTTTATTATTGTTAAACATGTTAGTTGTAAAGAAACTACGAAATGATATCATCTCGAGAAATTTGTCTTCTTAATGCCTTATTCAAAAAACAAATGAACCTACTAAGTAATGTTAGATTGTAAAGGAAATAAATGAAACACGTTTATAATGAAAATGTGATAAGATTAAGGGATGATAAGAAAGGGGTTGAAAATATAAACAAGGGGTGGTGTAGAAGTCATTAGTTGGTTATGTCTTAATAGGCCAACAAGGGAGGGATAATGGCTGTACGAACTTCTTTTGAATGCACAATTTAGGTTTATTAGTTCGAATGCCTATCGCCTCAGCTGTGTGCAGTAGACGAATACGAAGTCTATTGGAAAGATTCGTTGTCATAGTTTAGGTTTCTATGATATTTAACTATCGAACACTGTTGCTTATTTCACTTTATTGAGGCATGATTATTGCTTTAAAGAATGAGAACGGTTCCATCCCACCTGGGTTTATTTAGCCGTTTAATTTTTTGAATTCACTTGCCAAAAAGTAATCTCTCTGATCTTTTGTTGTTAGAAGTTCTTCTTGTTTTAAAATTTTTACCCACTGATGAAAATCAACTAAAAAAATTAAGTATAATTCATTCTTTTCATCAACATTGTAAGAATGAAAAGTTACTTTATAATCTAATTTCGTTAGCAACATGATATATACTACTCGTGGGTATGAATAGTTGGACAGACACATGTATCATGTCATATAATTTACCTGCTTTCTTGGTCACATTCTGTGATCGGAATAATGTGGGTTTCTCGAGGAAATCATCATTCTGGACAAATTAAAAGATCCATTAGATACAGAACTCCACCTAGAACAAGCTGAACTTAGGAAAGGTAAATTATGTGGTGATCAAATTACAACTCTACGTCTCATCATCAAATAAAGAATGGAATAGCAGACAAACCTCAATCTCAACTTTATCGACCTTGAAAAGGCCTACGATGGCGTAAATCCCGAAGTAATTTGGAAGCAGCTTCAACATTACGAAGTGCCCCAAGTCTCGATCAATCTAATTCAACACCTATATGACAATGATGCCATATGTCAAGTGGTCCACAACGGAAAACTCGTTGCAGCTGTAGCTTCCTTATATTAATTCTAACTGTACGTTTACAAGACTAATTCATGTACGCATATTATACACTTACAGAAACTAATTTTGCGGATGCTTGTGGAGTATTTACCACTGTGTTATTGAACATTGCTTTTCGTTTTTTACATATATATTTTACCTTGCTATACAATTTTTCGTTTTATAAATTTGATTTCGTTAACAATACATCTTTTCAACTTTTCACTTGTGCTTCTTAATATAACGTTGTCCATCTTTGACTGCGTACAGAGTTAGCACATAGTAGGACGCGAAAACGTGGATGTACTACAGTATGATAATCGGAATCATATTTAGTACATCATAAAGCCTTTGAAGTGAAGATAGGAGTAAGGCGAAGCTGCCTATCATCATCGATGATATTCCAAATTTTGATGGACTGGATTATGCATCTGACTGTAGGAAGCGAGAAGATAGGAATATCTTGGACCGATTAGAAGAATGTAGAAGATCTGGATTTCGCGGATGATATATATCTAATGTCAAACAAACTCGAAGACTTACAGGCGAAAACTAACAAGCTGACTAAAGAAGAAGTAAAGGCTAGACTTCAAGTGAACATAGAGAAGACGGAGGTGATGAAGGTAGCCAACCAACAGCAACAACAAACAGCGAAATCGTTATCGACGGGAGAAATTTGAAAGAGGTTACTTCCGCCACTTACCTAGAAAGCATTGTTTCAACTACAGGAATTCGGAACGGATGAAGATGTCAAGACCAGCCATGATCGGAAGACAAGACTGCACTAAGTGAGCATAAAGAAAAAATAGGTATTTCCAACACTAATGACAAGTCAGTCAGTTCTTTTATTATTTGTCACAAACTTTCACTGCGTGTCACAAAAACCATTTCTAGTGCAGGCTTTTATCAACAGCTTCCTTTACTGACTCCATAGTGAATATCAAACTGCCAGCCAGGAAGAATTAGCAACAAGAAGCTCTATGAACACATTAACCAAGGACTTGTCGTTCAAAAAACATGTAGGAGAAAAAGGAGATGAATTAGGCACTTGCTAAGGATACCATCCAGTGACGTCACATACCAGTTCCTCAAGTGGGAAACGACGAATTGGGCGTCCGAGTGTGACATAGGGGACTTTATGCAAGGAGGAGATGAGAGACTATGGGCAGTTGTGAGACCAGCCGAAAAGGACGGCAGAAAACAGGACAAAATGGAGATGTGCTGTTGAATCGCAATGTTCAACTTCGAACTTAGGGGAATAATAATAAGGAAACTGTGATGAAATCTCATCTCAAATTATTATTGTTTACTACAGTCTAATTTAATCTGAAGCTTTAATCTCGTCATTTTCTCAGATGTCATTTGACTGGAAAAACAATCTATATATGACGAAGCAACATATGTAGAAAATGATTGGTGGGTGTTGGTAGTGAAACATTCTGATAAACCATAAAAACTATTCAAATTCGATTTTAAACAGGAAACGAATGGATTACATCGGAACTTTGAAGAGGAGGTTATAAGCTAGTCACATTCACAGCACTTTGAACGGGCTGTTCATTATAAAATGAACGTAGTAGTTTACATTCAAAATAGTTTATATACTGAAACAAATGCTGAACTCAAAAAGTAATTTACCTAACATCAATATCTTATTTAAAAATTTCCTTTTCGCAAATTACGAGATTATTTCTAATTCAAAGTGCCTCAAATAAGATATGGGGTGTTTACTTAAATAAAGGCAATCGAAAAATTAGTAATTGACTAAAATGATGATTCATCATATTTGAAACCTTGAATATAGCTGGCTCCATTCACATACTTATTACTAAAGTATTAGTGTATACCACTTTTGTGTCAGTGTAAACCGTCTCAGATTAAATCAACAGATCCCTTTATCAAGTCCTGAACTGCTTTATTTTTCCATTGTGTTTCATTTGTCTGTAAATAGGATCGAAGGAAAATGAAGAGGAAATAGACAGTGATTTTGAAACACTGACTAGTGAGGAGAAGAAAATGAAAATGTTAGATTACTTTGAAGAGACAGGGTTGAGTAAGTTTAAGTGTCAATAGTCACATATATTATTATTATATTATTATTATATATTATTATCCCTTTTTGTTCTAGGTAGGATGGAGGGTACTCCAGTTCATCCTTATTTCATCATTTTCTCTGCAATCCTCTTTAGTTTGCTTCACGACTTCCAAGAAGTTTTCATCTCCTTCGTGTCACCCTTGGATCCAATCTCAACTCGTCATTTCTCATTTATGTTTTACTCGAGGACCTGGCGCGTAGTGTCACTCAACAGTCTTCTCAGTGTGTGTTCATTCCATCACTACTTACTTCTACACAGTTGTTAAGCGACAGGTTCTTGATTAGTTCGTCCCAGGAGTTCATTGTCGTTTATCCTATCTGACTGGCCAACTGACCACAATATTGGGCGAGGGTAGCTGTTGGTAAACGTCAAAGGTCTGTTGGACATGCCTTCTGTGAGTCGCCAGCTCTCTGGGACGTATAGAACATGTGACTTAACATTGGTGTTGCAAATTCGGATGTTGTTCCATATGCTGAATGCAGCAGATCTCCACATGGATTTCGGGATAATGAAGGTCTGTCTTAACTTCCCGATCTTGGCCTTCATTTATATATATATATATATATATATATATATATATATATCATCACTAACCGATATCAGCTAGAGAATCACTGAAAACCAAGGAATGCTGGATTGCTTTCTCGTCCTAGTTCAAGAACCCTCAGCAGTGAGTACCCATGGTCCCATCTAAAGTACAGATTTTTCTGTTTTGTGTAATAATACCGGCATCTTCAGTCTCACTTCGTGATTTGGGAATCGAACAGTAAGGGATTCATCAACTCTTCACTAACTGATTTTTGTACAGTTTCCGCATAATATGGACTTAAGATCTAATGTAAACAATCAAAAAATGAGCATTTTCAGTCATTCCTATCAAGACAGCATGAAGTGGCTCACTGTATAATGACAGGAAGTATGAGTACAGCATGAAAACCCTTCTGGACTACTTTAATTCCATTAGGAATAACTATAGTAAAATTAACATTGTTTCGGCAGTCATCACCAAATAATGTCTGGGATTTCTTATCTTTATTTCTAATGACCGTTATTTAATATATCAACAATCATGCAAATTATGTAATTTTCGAGGACTGTATAGTCTAATCATGATCTTTTCAGTAAATGTGTTCATTCGTTTCCTTTTACTTTACAGCTGAAATGATGAAAACAGCTATGCTCGAAGCTCTTGACAAAAGACCTCGTGATCCTATAAAGCATATTGCTGAAAGCCTTCTAAAACAACATAACTCATCGAAGAAATAGATCCTACTTTCATATATTTATAGATTATTTAGTCTTTTTATAATGTATTTAAATTATTTTTCTATAGTCGCAGCTCTTTTACGCCAATTATGTTCTAAAATAATAAAAATATATTTATATTTTCTCTATAAAGTATTCTTATGCATGACAAAATGTCTCATGTTTAGAATGACCATAATGAAACAACTTTTAACTAAGGATTATCGGTCAAAGGCTTGATCAGTCAGGGAACCATTAAGGAAAACCTGAGAGTACTGGAAAATTCTTTCATCCCAGCTTGGGTTTCTTCAGCAGGACACACTCACGAGGGTTCGAACCCAAGCGAAATTGTAGAGCATTCAGCCACTGGGACCAGATCCAATGGCCTATGAATTTCAACTTCTGCCAATTTGTTATATATAGTGCAACCATCAGTCAATGTCGTCGGCAAGTAACAGTCCTCTTATCTGACTTGGTGGACCCCGCTGGTTACGACATCTCACTGATACTCCAGTTAACTTCCTGTATAGAACCAGTCCCTAATGAACACCAGACTAGTTATCCATTGTTGGTTTGCTGCGATTTCATTGATTGTTTAGGGATATTTAACTGTGTGATCTCAAAGTTTATTTAACCTCAACATGCTGAATATTAGTTACATTCTGGATACTTATTGGTTTCCCTGTACCACCTTTCGTTTGTCAGTTCAATATTCAGAGACGAATTTAAACCTTTTTACTTTGAACCAGTTGATCTGTATTTTTAAGTAGTAGTAGTGAGTATAATGTATAATCTGTAAGTTTAATAGGGGTTTGGGATGAAGAAATTGATATGAATGCCTGCAAACCACATTACTGATATAATATTAAGGTTAAATGCTATATAGGAAACCAATCTCCAGATATGAACTCAGTGGTTAAGCTTCCGGCACCAAAATAGAATTCTGTTTCAAAGCGTTTAAGAGAATAAATCAGGAATTAATAATCTAGCCAAGCGGAATCCGGAATTGGGAGGATTACAGCCTTAACATTAAATCAGTTAATACAGTAAACTCCTGAATAGCACACTCTTGATAGGCTGCTCATTAATTTCTGTTGGCAGTAATTAGTCGTAATCAAATTACTAAGGTTTACCTTCCATTTACTTGAAAGGGGTAACAGTTTTGTCCACTTTTTGATACAGCATAATTACTTTTTGTTAGTTATGGTCAGAATCAATTTTCTAGTTCTCAGATAAATATATTGAGTTACGTTTGTCAAATAACTAGCTCTCCAGTACCCTGTACTCAAGTGATTCAATTTATATTATTAGTTTACTGTTATACCTGTGACATACTTTAAATTTTTCTTCTGACTATATAAATAATGACCTGTTCATTCTACTTATCTTGGTGATAATCTCACATGACCAAACTGAAGATAACAGATTTAAAATTTTCATCATGTTGAAGATGTCAACAACTATAGAAATTATCACTGTTCACAGGTTGAGGAGTTGAAAGCTAGTTTAGCAAATGTTAACAATTTTTCATTAAGAAAAAAGTCCAAGTGATCAAAGTCGACTAGCTGTTAACATTAAAACTTGGCATATGAAAGTAGTGATTATACTATTCAAGAAAAGTAACTCAATTGCAGAATGCCAAAAGACATTTTCTGATACATACGTTTAGACATTCTCATTAATGTGTTACTTTATATTTACATCTCAGAAGATATTCAGATGTGCACATTTAAGACACATTATGTGGTAGATGATTGGTAAAACTGTTGCACATTATTAGCGTATTAGGGTTATTCATTTTCGAGTTCAAATGAAAAACAATTAATTCTCGATATACATCTGTAAGCGTCGCAGACAATCCTTGTACTGAAGCTAACTTAGACTTTGATGTAAATGGATTTCTGGCAATTCATTCGAAAATTATTTTCCGGATAGGTTTCACATTATTCGATACTGCATATCAAAAAGTAAACTGGAAACAATAGAAAACGAATGGTTCATTAAAAATCTGTGAAGAGATTAAAGTCTGCTGTTACAAGCTAATTCTAGCAAGAATCTCCTGAAATAACAGCAACAAAGCAGAGCCATACTAGACCAAATGGGCCATCTAAGAAAGATATGTCTACCCCTTATTAGCGTATTTCTCAATGACAGTTCTAAAAGTAGACCGTACATAGGAATAAAAAAGAAAGGTAGGTTATTATATCCCAAATAACAGCAAATAACGATGTATTTCACAGGATGTATTGATGTGTTTGTCATAATTTTGTTGCTTTTATGTGATTTTAGAAGGTAGACATCTTGGATGTCCTTCTTTTTGGCTTCAGAGTGTGCTGATTCCGTTTTTTAACTCATCTTTTTGTCATATCACTTATATTCTTATGTTAAAGAAACTTCTCTCACTCCTGTAGTGCTCGATGTTTTCGCTGCCACTTATTATAGATTTTCAGTGGCGAATAATTCCCAAAAGTTGTTAGCCTATAGATTTTTTCATCCCACATTCAGTACTAACCTTCATTGGTTAAGTTGACTCGTTTACCTGAAGGCACACGGTCAAGTGACACGCTGTCGTGTTACATTCAGCCGTTCGTTCAATCAACCTATCTAGATAGGTAGTCATCATCGATCTCCGCTTCTAAAGTTAAAATATAACCAGTATTTTGGACGACCAGTTTGTCGTTTTGATTTGTCTCTGGTATTAGTAGAATAAGTACTTCAGGAGTTACAGAATAAAAACTTCCACCTGTATGCAGTTTATCTTATATAAACATCGACAACCTTAAACTGTTAGAGGTTGTATTATGACTTATTAAAACTGTTGCTGTTACATCTGGGAATTAAATCTTAAAAACTCGGTGAAGTACAGGGCAATATAGCAGTGAATAATCCCCCAGAATCATTAGTTTGCAGGTTTTCATTCAGCGTTGGGTGCTGACCTTAAACGTTTAGGTCGACTAGTTAAAGTGAATACAATCGGTAAAGCACTCATTCTCTTGCTACTACTGGGTGTTCCTGCATGCACTTTAGTCCGATAATCAGAAGTCACTATCCTACGTTTTCTATACAAAAATAGATTTCGTATTTTGGATGATCAAACTGTTATCCCGGTTTGGCTTCATAACAGCACTGTGGTCAAACAGTGGAGGTACACTCGGTGGAAATAGATGGCATATATTCGCATAAGCATTTAAGAATATCGTTAGTAATCCTCTACATCCTTCTCATCCTAAGGACTTGTCAATGTAGTTGAAGATTGAACGATCAGTTCATGTTTGTTTGCTCAAACCCAAATCCTCCATATTTTTTGGCGGCAGTCATCTATCCAGCAGTCATTGCCTCATCGTTCACTGTTCGGTGGAAGAGAGAAAACCATCAGAAGTATTATTGTGATTTATTGTTAGAACATTTATTCTTAAACCTTGTGTAATAACCTTATTGTTGGTCACTTGTTGGCGTAAGAATAAAGGATACTTGAGTCGCCAATCAGTGTTCTGGTTTTCGCGTTGGTGAATACAAAGTGTTTCTGGAAGTCTTCGAGGGGCAGGGTGAGGTCCAGCGTAGTAAGAGCTGGACATTGACAGTTTATGAGAGTTGACTGACATCCACATTCCACGATATAGTGTCATGGCGTGTCACTGTTCAGAGTTGAGGATGCAGATGATGGAAGGAGGTCAGTAAATGAACTCTGCGACGATTTTCCAACCTAGGGCGTCAACCTGAGAAGGAATGTAGGCATACTGCTGTAAGTCCTGCGGTTGTTCAAGCGTAGCTCATCAAGACAGAATCCCCAACATTTGATGTATTGTTTATACATGTTTGTGCTAAGTAATTGAGTGGGTACCGGTTCATGTGATTGTTGGTTTGTTTTATAGTTGTCGCATTGTGTGAATCAGCTTGTAATGTTTTTGTAAGTGCTTCTGAAGTCGTTTCTAATCTTCTAAACTTGTGAACGGATCGAGTAGTGTTAGAGTCAGTGTATGCGATTTGATACCCCTGGGAGGGGATTGTGCCAGAGTGATATGAAGCAACCAACACCCGTGGAACAGATCAGTGCTGGTACCTTTGACAGAGAGCGAAGGAATGGTCGAATCACTGAGGAAGATACTACAAGCCAGGGAGAGCGTACTGGTGGGATGTGGTATACTTCTGTGTGTTGGGCTTTTTTGTCTTGCCTTTCGATTTTGGCCTAGTCCCGGTTGGCCAGGTTCCCGCGTTTGCAGTTCAGTTCAAAGTTATCGGCGCTATGCAAAAAAGGGATAGACCCTTTTTGGCCGGGGAGTGTCAACGGACGTGAACATTGAATGTGTGTGTATTGGAACTGAAAGCCATTGGTGGGCAATTCGAAGGCGCGAATGGTTCGATTGTATACAAGTTCCACGAAGACTAACGAAAACGAATAAAAACTTGTATTATTCTCCGCTTTAATTGCCTAACAATATAACTACTCTATTATAATACTGGTGTTTGTTAGTTAAAGTCGAAGAAAGTACATAGTATTTATCGGTGCGGAGCGTCTTCGTAACAATAGGAACTAAGGGATTAGCTCCTTGACAGACAGTATTAAGTCCAATGTGGTTATACCTGGATATTTAACAGTGTATATATGTTCACGCCTTTAAAAATGGCTGGTTTCTGTTTCAGAAAAAAACTACCAGTACTATTAGATGGAAACAGATAAAAACTCAGGTTCAACACTGAGAAACTGAAGGACAAAACTACAAAGGATACCTTAACCTCATATCAGATCAGGGCAAAGTCGGATACACTACGTAGCATCACTGAGGAAACCTGCGTGGAAGATCATTCGAGCTAACTTTCTGAAGGTGATATCCTAGGCAACGTGTATAACTGTTTTAGGAAGAAGGAAGAGACAAGAAAAACAATTGCTGTCAACGGATACCTGGAAGCTAATCGAGGAGAGGAGAGGGATGAAAGAGAAGATGACTCAATACAAAGGTGGACAACAGAAGGAGAAGCTGAGTTCAATGTACACTGCGCTGAATAAAGAAGCGAATGAGAGT